TATTGTAGAGATGAGGTCTCGCTGCCCAGGCAGGTCTCGAACCTGCGGACTCAGGCAATCTACTCACCTCAGCCTCCCAAAGACACGGGATTACAAGCTGAGCCACCGATCCCGGCTAGTTCTCAGGTTTTAAAATATCTACTTTTTTGAGGCTGGGTGCAGTGACTCATGCCTGTAATCCCTTGGCAATCCCTAGGCATTTTGGGAGACCAAGGTGGGAGGATCGTTTGAGCCCAGGTGTTTGAGAATCTTTCCAGCCCAGGTGTTTGAGACCAGCCTGGGCAGCATAGCGAGAACTTGTCTCTACAAAAAATAAAAAATAATTAGCTGGGCATGGTGAACGTGCCTGTAGTCCAACTACAGGTGACAAAGGTGGAAGGGTCATTTAAACCCAGTAGTTCAAGGCTATGGTAATCATACCATTACACTCCAGCCTGGGCTGCAAAGTGAGACTCCAACTCAAAAGTAAAAACATAAATAAATGAAATACCTACTATTTTTGAAAACTGTGATGTATCAACAGAATACAGTCTGATTGTCTTATTCCCAAGACCCTTTGCAGAATTATTTCAACCCCAATCTACTGTTTGGTATTTAATGAAGAGAGCAGGAGACAGGAAACTACTGAATTGAATGATAAGACTTTAAATTTATATCATAATGGCATATACATTATTCAGGTTTTATTCTGGAGTTTTAATAGGGATTCTCAAAATTTAATTATCTTCACTTAGTTACCTTCAAAATAAAAATATTATATAAACATATATCATATTATTGAATGGTCTTATTGTCAGCTATCTCTGGAACACATTTCTAATTATATCCATAACCCAAACTTCCTGCCATGGACAGTAAAAAAGTAATTCTTAGTTGTATCTGTAGTCAACATTGCAATTTTCATGCACTATAGAAACCTTAGACAAGTATGGTTTAAAAATGAATTTGAACAACTAATTATAATTTTGAAGGAGAGAAACAAAGACTAGAAATAAACTACTGAAAAACAATTTCTATGTCTCAGTCAAATTTTTATTTGAAAACACTTTATGTTCATCTCTATAATACTACTGAGAATGACAAAGGAAAACTTGAATTTGCAGCCACCCAAAGGAGAAGGCTTAATTAATTTACCCATATTGGGACTTTGTTTATAATTTTAAAAAAAAGTTTTCGACATGGCACCCTGCTTGCTAGGTGGCCAAACACCTCTGGTAAATGTGTATGTGTATATGCAATATATTTTTCACATATATATTTATATATATGCAATATATTTTTAACATATATAATTATATATATGCAATAAAGCTGAAGTTGTATATTATTCTTTCAAGGGGAAAAATTTCTGTTTAACACAGACCAGTACATGTCAACAAAACCATCCCAATATTTACAGAGATCATAAATCTGGTGAAAAGATATAATCTTTAACAACTAAATAAGCTAAATGCATTAAATGGCCTGGAAGCACAGAGAAGGCATATTTTCACTTTTTTTTCCTGACAGGAAAGCAGAGGTTTTACAAGTTATGGAGACATTTTACCATTGCCTTTAAGGGTGAGGAAGGATATTGAAAGCAAAGGGAAAAATTATGTGGAAAGGCTGAGAGAAATGAGATGAGTGACAAGTGAGAGCCGATCTCATTAACTGAAATATGAATGAAAGAAGGAATGTTTACAAATATGGAAAGATAAGTAGTGCAGGTTTGAACAGATCATGTCAATCAATGTAGAATTTAGCTATCTTTTAAATGGAAGACTAGGAAATATTTTATAGTTATTTGCTTATACTTATAAAGTTTTCCTAAAGAACAACTAAAATGAATTTAGTTGAATTATTTTTTTATGGATGTGATTTTTTCCAAGTTATATAGCAAATTTATTTCTTACCTAGTTATTCTTTCTTTAGGTTTATAGTGCTACACTGAGTAAAATCTAACCTGCTAATATTTGTTGTTTTTTGAAGATGCAATTTTTAAAAGGGATTATTTTTCCATGTCATATTAAACACAATATTCTGAAAAGGTAGCATACCCTGAACATTCTACTTTTCATCTTCTAAAAAATAGATTCTAGAAGAGATTTCTCTAGAAAATATGGAGGGTTTGATATTAAAATAAGTTAGCCAACTCAAAATTAAACTTAACTATTTGACATTTGCATGTGATCTTTTCATCTCCCTTTTCTTCTTTGAAGCTGCAGGCAAGTATTTTAACAGATTTTTAATCCATACTATAATCATCATTGATTTTAAGTTTAAGGATGAAAATCTGATTTTAATTAAAATTTGTTATGCATCCTAGTGTTTATGCTGTGAAATTAACTTGTAATAGTATTCTCTTAAGTATGTACCATAGATATTCTTCTTGAATAAATTTCTGGTGAAAGCAGAATGGACTTTTGGTAAAAATATCATCTCTTGGAGATTTATTTTAGATGAGATCAGGTGTATTCAGGGTAGTATGATTATAGACTTGAGGGATTTATTTTAAATGGAAAGCATGATAAGGTTTAGTAAACTTATCTATTGCTAGTTGGACAACAGGAGAGACTGAGAAATTATGATGAATTGGGTCTGATTTTTGTGTCATGATGGAAAATTTCCACAAATATCATATTTTTACTTTATGATAAGTAATGCAAATGAATTACAGTCTAATATTTGAAGACTCATCAATAAATCTAGAAGGTAGCTGCTGATTTTTCATTATGAGAATCTTTGACTTTACAAGCTATTAAACATTCATGAAAGGATTATTGTACTTGAAATCTAACTGCTCTATATCAGGAATATGTCAGATATCCAAAATTAAACTTAATTTTTTGACATTTTCATGCGATCTTTCCATTTTTATTTTCTCCTTTAAAGCTACAGCCAAATGTTTTAACAAGAAACATCTTTTAGTATGTAAGATTGGAATAATCACTGGACATTCTTACATATGAAGCAGTTTTCTGCAAAGGCTGTTGTTGGTGCTCCCTAACCTTTTATATATATATATAAAAGGTTAGGGAGCATTGAGTAAATATAGACTATTTACTGGGGAATGAAGAACCTAGGTATGATTCGTTGGCTTTGTGCCAAAGATGCTAGAGAAAATGGTGAATGACAAACACATTACCAAGGAATTTTTCCTCTAAGAGTCTGACAAGGATTTAATTTTTAGGATTGAATCCTAACAAGAAAGTTACCCCCTTGTTATTGAACTTCTAATAGAAATATTTTCTATGCTGAAACAGTTCTCAGTTTCTTTCTCTTTTACTTCTTTTCTTTCTTCTTTCTTTTTTGGTTATTTTATCTTCTTCATAATGAGTCATTTCTGGTAAAATAATTTACTTAACTTCCAACCTGGGCAACTTGGCAAGACCTCGCCTTTACAATAAATCAAAAAGTTATCCAGGCATTATGACTGTAGTTCCAGCTACTTGGAAGGCTGAGCTGGAGGGATTGTCTGAGCCCAGCAGGTCAAGGCTGCAGCTGCCATGAGCGTGCCACTGTACTCCAGCCTGGGTAGCAGAGTGAGACTCTGACTCAAAAAATACAAAAAAAAAAACCCCCAAATAACTGAAAGGCAAAATCTTTACAATAGTTTTTATTGGGGCATATCTTAAAATCACTCTAAATTCAATTAAAAATATATTTTTAATAAAATTTTGACTTTCTTTATAAAAATTAATTTTGGTAATTTAACTATTATTTAATGACTGTATACTACATATATTCACTTTTTCCTTTATTTTTGTATTGCTTTGACTTAGTGAGACTGAATTTCCATACTAGGAAATTTATTAAGTGAAGAGTACCAGAACTTAAGATGACTTTTCTTTGCTAACAGAATTTATTAAAGACACTACGGGAGTAAGTTAGAATTAAGTTCCAGGTTTTACACTTGAATATAAAGAAGCAGTTATCCAGGTGTAAAATACTTTAGACAAAATCTGAAACCATCCATTTGACAAAAACTTGGGGCTTCCAGTTGATAATAAATATAATATAATGCAACAGTGTAATGGTAATATCTAAATAGTTACTGTAATCATAGGTAATATGACTACGTGTGTTATCCACAATGAGTGATGTGATATTTTGCTTTACTTTGTACTAGTCAGGTCTGGTGCCACTTTTTGAAAAGAATAAAATTATTCAGATCACTTTTATGAGACAATAACTAAGAAAAGGAAATTAGCTATAGCTAAGAAAGAAATTGGTAAGCACAGCTTAGCAAGGTCAGCCAAGTATCTAGATCGTCTAGGAGGTTGGTACTACCTAAAATCAAACCTATTTGATAGTCAACAATGAACAAAGGCATCTTATTTTAATCTCTAGGTATTAACAAACTCTGCTTGTTCCACAGGAGTCTGAACTTATTGAACTAAGAGAAACCATTGAAATGCTGAAGGCCCAGAACTCTGCTGCCCAGGCAGCTATTCAGGGAGCGCTGAATGGTCCAGACCACCCTCCCAAAGGTATATTTAGAAATATTTCCTTTTCCACTCAATAAATAGATATCTATTTCACTTATTTAACAATAGAGCAAAGCTGCATTTACTCAGTGGCACTACCTTTTATAATGAATAAGTTAGTAGTAATGTGGTCAGAATTCCAGAATTTGAGAACGACTTTAATTATAAAATAATTTTTAAATTGATCTTAAGGGAATTTTTTCTATAGTCTTATACACATTTTTTCCACTTAATTTTATGAAGATGAGGATGGTATAGTTGGTTAATACATGCATATCTGACTTTAAGCAAAACAAACCCAGTAATGAGTATGATAATCTATATCTGTATATAAAAATGAAATAACCAATATGATTATATAGCAAGTAGTGGGTATTGGTAGTAACTTTTCATGAATGGGACAATAAAAAGGTCCATTCCCTGTAGGTGGTTTTAAAACAATAAGATAAAAAAACTAAATGTTTGTCTACTTTATTATTATTATTATTATTATTACCACGCTTCAGTAATTTTCATAACAATGAAAATATTTCTATCTGCCATCCCCATCCCTTGGCTCACCACTGAAGAAGTGCATATTATTAGTATCATGTCATTTTTTTCTTTCATAAGTTCTATTTATTTATGTACTGACTCTATTCAATATTATTTAATATGCTCAACTCTTTCCCAGCTTAAAGATTCTTTTCTAAATCCTGAATGCCCTATTATCTCTCTTCTTATTTCTAGATAAATCCTGGGGGAAAATAAGTATATTGAATCTTTCAATATCTTCAGCCACCAATCACCCTTTAGTTCAATGGAGTATAGTTTTTCTTCACACCACTCTACCAAAACAATGATTTCCAGGATCAATAGAGATGTATAGGATGCTAAATTCAGGAAAACATTTAAAATTCTTATTGTATTAGATGTGGAAACAGTATTTGATCCTGTTGTCCATTCCCTCCTACATGAAACAATCATTTTTTTAATGTTCATGACATCATGCATTCTTGTTTTTGGTTTTTTTTCTCCTTTGAAACTTTTTTCAATGCTTCTTTTGTAAGTTCACTCTTTTCATTCGTTTGTTAATTGTTAATTGTTAATATTCTGAGTTCTCTTCCATTAGGATTCTGAACATTGTGACTGTATGCATCATATTTGTAATGCTATACAAATTCATCTACTATTCTAGTTATACAACTATCAAATCTGTATCTTCAGGCCAGCCTGGAGCTATACTTGAAGAATAGGTCTGTATATATCTGTATATGTATAGTTCTGTATATCCAGCTACCAGGCTATACTCTTGAAGTATCGGTCTGTATATCCAGCTGCCAGGTCATACTTTTAAAGTATAGGTCTGTATATCCAGCTGCCAGAACTCCAGTGGATATCTTTGAATGTTTGTTTGGTACCATAAACCTAACATCTCCTAACTTGGACTTGTCCTCTTTCCTTTCTGCATGCCCTTATTTGTTTTTTTGCCTCAATAGATGATACTACCATCCTTTTGTGTAGCAAGAAATCTGGGTGTCATTCATAGCTCCTCCTTTCCTTATTCAATAAATCACCAAGTGCTGTTGATTTTCTACCCTTGAATATCTTTTGGATCTGTTCACTTTTCTAGATCCTACTATCACCACCCATCATCTTGCCCCTGACCTATTACCACAATCCGCTAACAGTCTTCCTGTCCTTAATCTTTCCCCACTTTACACCATTCTTCCATCAAAGCCAGAGCAAGCATCTAAAAACATATGTATACAGGTATCCCATTGCCTTTAGGATGAAACCTAAACTCCTTAACATGATCTCGCTTTACCAGTTTCATTCATTCAACCAATATTTATTGATTACCAATTATATACCAGATGCTGGGCTAGACTTATCTCTTTTTCTTTTCTTTTCTTTTCTTTGTATTATATATTTCACATTTCAGCTATTCTGAATTTCTTCCAGTGCTTCCTACGTTCTTTACAAATTCTGTTTTTTCCACTTAGAACATTCTCCCCTGTTTGTTCAGCATAAAAACTTTTTGAGATACTATAGCAATTAGCTTAAATGTGCCTCCTTGACCCCGAAACTGAATGAGGTTCCCTGTGGTATCTTTCTGGATATGGCAGTGCTTCCCTTATTAAAATTACATTATACTTTAGTGCCTCTATTTAAGGTATGTTTTTCCTAATTCACAGTAGGAAGGTTTGGGTTTTTTTTTTTCTCTAGTGCCTATGATGATACCTTGCACATAAAAGGGGCATATTTGAATTACACAAAAACGAGTGTTATAATTTTAAAATGTACTTAAATTTCAGTTTTAGGAAAACAATTATATAAAGTGAGATATACTTAAATTGAAGGACAAATGAGTTTTCTAGGGGCTACTTCTGTTAAGAATTTAGCAACTTTCCATGTGGGGGAGTTGATTTATGTGCAGCATGGAAAATTATTGCATATTTAAAGCTTATCTTAGTGCTATAATAAAGCAGCTTATGTTCTAAATCTTCATGTTGTAAATAGGTCCAGAAGGGATTTAAAAAGGCTTATTCCTTACTTTAACACAGCACAAGTCACTGAAATGAAACTTTCTGAAAGAATTCCTTTTATCTTGGGCAACAGGTAGCTTAATGTATCTACTGGAATTGAAAAATTGGAATTCCTTTGCTCAGAGATGTGGGAGGAACAATGTCTAAGATGAACAAAATAACAGTTAATATCTAAATTGATCAAGAAATATTTAAAAAATAATTTCCCAGGTTTTAAAACTAACAAGAACTCATTAAAAGGGATGAATGTATACAGGATATTTAGATTATATTTCGGTATTATTAAAACACAATATTAAATTTAGTGAACAAAAAGTGATTCTTATCACACTGGAATTGCATGGAGAAAATAGATGGATTAATTATGTATCTTTTCATGGGTTATTAAGGTGATTATATGGCCGAAAAATTTATATTCTGAAATCATATTGAAATTTGGTTTTAGAGACCTTTAAACTATTTATGTCATAGATATTTTCAACATATGATCTTAAAAGATGTATTTGAAATGAGAACACTTTTATAGACCAAACTATGGCAAAATCTCACACCAATTTATTAATGTACCGTTCTACTTTCTCTTTATTTATATATCATATCTCTTAATGACATCTGATAAACAACTAGTCTATAATAAAATAAATGTGTTTATTTGTTTACCAACATATTTAAGTACCTGCTATTAAGTACTCTATTAGGTCTTGAAATACAAAAATAAATAAAATGACTCTGTAGTCAAAGGGTTCACAATCCACTGCAATGAAGAAGATTTTATATATATACAGGGGGTACCAAAAAATGTCTACCCATTTTAAGAGATGTTACCCATGTATTACTTTTCAAAGTTGAATTCAATTATGATAGCAATGTGTAGTATGGTGTTCACTCAACCTTGCTTCCATCACTTTCTTTGACTGTCCTGCTTGTCTCTTGGTGATACTAGCATTTATTTGATTAACAACATCTTTTGTGCAAATATCATGCTTAAAATGTGTAGACCTTTTTTGGCACCCCCTGTGTATATGTATATGTATGTGTATGTATACACACACACACACACACACACACACATATACAAACATACACATTTATATAAATTGTAAGAAACATAATTGTTATAAGGCTGAAAATTGAAGGTAATGAAAATTTTTATTTTTGTTTTTCAAAATGTATTATTGTTTTAAAAGTCACTATTTCTGTGTAAATATGGAGTCATTTTTTCTCAAGATACACCAAGTACAGTTGGATAGTACGTGTATTAAATTGCTATCAACAATACATATTTTTTAATAATAATGGTTGACAAACATAGGTGTGTTGAATGAAAAAATTAGAATATATTTATTCAACAACTACATATTTAGTGTCTACCGTGTGCCATACTTTGTTCAAGGTCCTGGATATATATAAGTAATCAAAATAGACATGGTCTTTGTCTTCATAGAACTTTTAGTCTAAGAGAAGACCAGAAAATAAATAAATGTTTGTGATCACTGATCTAGCTAAGTGTGTATTTCAAAACAGTTATACGTTCCAAAATGGACAATTATAGTTACCATAGAAAAGGAGGGTACCAGAGAACTTACTAGAAGTTGCATAGTCAGAAAAGCATGCTCCAAGGTAGCAACATTTACTTGAATTCCAAGGAATAATTATCAAATCATATTATAAATATTGAGGGAGGAGCATTCCAAGAGGGCCTTGAGGCAGAAAAGAGATTAGTACCTTGATAGAACTGATACAAAGAAGATAATGAGTAGAGGTAAAATAAGCAGAACGTGGTTGGACAGAATCATTGAAGGATTTTTAGGCCATATTTAAGAGGTGGAATTCTTTCTCTTCTAATTAAAGTGAACATCCATTGAAAGTCCTTAAGTAAAGGAGTGATGATGATGTTTTCCTTTTAAAAATTTTCTCTAGCTTTTGTTTGCAGAATGGTTTGAAGGTGAGAGAGTTGGATAGCTGTTCTTGCTATAGAATTGATGTGAATAGGTTGAACAGGGTCAGTGGTTGTGCAGAAAGTAGAAAGTGGAAAATAAATGAATGAACAAACACATACTTAAAATTTTATTTTTAAAATAGGCTTCTCCATACATTCAGGTTGCTTATATTCATTTGTTTAACTATTCATTACTGAGCTTTATGATACCCCAGTACTGGATTAAATATTTATCACCACTGAAAAGGAATTGTTAGAGAAAAAGTACAGTGCATTTTTTCATATCATTACATTATTGAAATTATGCTTTTGCTAGTTTTTATTGGTAAATGCAGTCATAGTTGAAGTTAATTAATACCTCCAAGAACTACTTATGACCTATGATTTTAATAACTTACTTATCTTTTAAAAAACTTGATATTAATCAAATGTCAAATATAACATTAATTATGGATATAATAAAAACCTCTGGCATACTTTAACATTTTATGTTTCTCTATTTATGAAAGGTAAGTGTTAGGGAAAGGCTAGCAAATGCTATATCTTATTCAAAAAAGCTAACACCCAATCACAGCAAAGATTTAAAACATGAATAAATACCTGCACATTGTCTATTGTGTATTCATGTGACTTCCATATTAGGTAAGTAAGAGAGTCTAGATTTCTTTATTGTTGAATTAAAGCCACACACGTAAATACCTTGATTTAGGTTTTGGAATTGGTAATGTTTTTGGTGTGTAAAATCAGTAAATGTTCTCATTGTTACTTTAAAAAATAATTTTAAGAGACCAAACTCTAGGTGTTCCAAAACATTGCTTTATTTTTTTCTCTCCTATAAAAGTTGTCAGCATGCTTGCCTCAATAGAAAAGTTAAGGAACTTATGTATATATATGTATATATGTATATGAGGATTAGGAGATGTATACATATATGTAAAAATATATATGTATATACATATATTATATACCCACATCGATACTCACTTATTGTATGTTTTGAAAGTGACCAGCTACAGCTTCATTATCTGTTTCATTACCCATTCATGGATCATTCAGTAAATTACTACTGAATTACTATTCAGTAAATCAGTCAAGTGGAAAGATTTGATTTTATATTATTATTTTAATGGAAACTGAAAGCTATATAGTCATTTTTGACATCTTACAAGTTCCATTGCGATTTCTTTGCTTGGCTAATCTGCATTGATGCTAATTAAGTTTATTAATAAAGCAGGCCTAAAAGCAAATTTGACCTTTAATATAATCTTATAAATTTTCTTAGTGTCTTGCTTACACTTAATATCAGTTTATTGTAAGTAGATATAATTTCAATTTAAGTTTTTATTTTTAATAACTATAAATAAATCCTGTTAGCTGATTGTATGGAATAAGTGGATACCTTTTAAAATGATTAAATATCAAATGCCAGGCTCTTCAAAATTTCTTGTATAACTGGAAAAACGCTACACATTTTTAAGTATAGTAAGGCAGTATAGACTACATGTTGCATACATGGCAGCACAATAGATACTAGAATCAGTTTACTGCTGAGGTTGGCTCTACTGTTTTTCAAGAATATGACATGTAAAAATTATATTTAGTAATTAAACTGACTTGAATAGTTTGTTTTAAGAATAAAATTAGGTACTCCAGGGGCATATTAAGTATATAGTAAAAGTTAATTTTATTATTACTTGTTATTAGTGTTACTATTTAAAGTCAGGGACAAGGATTAGGGGTATATTGGAAGAATTTCACTGTCTTAAATATGTTCTGTTTAATTCACAAACTCAGTCTGCCTGTTTTGTTTTTATCTTATTTCAATAGCTTTAGGGGTACACATGACTTTTGGTTACATGTATACATAGGATAGTGATGAAGAAGTTTGGGCTTTACATGAATAGACATCTCTCAAAATAGTGTATACACATGGCCAACAAGCATATGAAAAAAATCACTAACATTATTAATCATCGGGGAAATGCAAATTGAAACCACAATGAGATACCACCATACACCAGAGAGAATGGCTATTATTTTAAAACTCAGAAAACAGTAGACTCTTATTTGAGGATCTTTCTTTCATTGACTGTTTGACCTTGACCAAGTTATTTATGTTTTTTGCACTTCAGTTTCTCATTTGTGAGATGATGTGCTTACATGATTTCCGAGGTTTGTTTTGGCTCTAAAATGATATGATTCTTTGAAATGGAAAGTTAATATATTTGGCTTTCGTAACTTTATTCAAAGCACAAATATTAAAAAGACACAATTAATTCTCATTCTATTATGAGTTTCTATTTACTCCACGGAACTAATCATTTGGAACAAATCATTTTGGAAAAGCTGTTTGATCCAGGTATTCAGTAAAAATCACTAACATAGCATTTAATTTTGGACAAAACTCAGAATTCATTAAATTACCAGTACTACAGACTTATATGAGATTCCCATTAAATATTCATTTGATAACTCAGTTAATTAAAACAAAATGGTTGTACTATATTAAACTTTTAAAACTGAAACTGCACTGAAATAATCTGCACAAAACCTATTGACCTTTATTAGATAACTTTCTCTCCAAAAGCCTAGAAGGCTTATTTGTTCAGATTGAGACTTTTCATGAGCCAGTGTGATCCTCTCTGTCTGTTGCTAGATCTTCGCATCAGAAGACAGCATTCCTCTGAAAGTGTTTCTAGTATCAACAGTGCCACAAGCCATTCCAGCATTGGCAGTGGTAATGATGCGGACTCCAAGAAAAAGAAAAAGAAAAACTGGGTAAGTCACCATCATTCATTAATTCATAAGCTTAGTAATGTACAATGAGTTAGGTATTTTTTCCTTTAGGGTTTTAGAACTCTATAGAAGTTTACAAAGAGTCCCATTCAAGTGACTGGCACACCAATCACCCTAATTAGAAAGGCATGGCACTGAAAAACATCCATTTTGGAGTTAGGACTAAACGGGTTTAAATCTCTCCTGGATCTTGGGCAGCTTACTTCATCTTTTGAGGGGACTGAATTGTTTCATCTGTAAAAGTAAGATAATACTGACTCTATAAAGCTGTAATGAAGAAAAATAAGATAGCATCTGTAAATAAATAGCTTAGTCTGGGTTTCTTGTGAGAGTAGAGATGAAGAAAAAGAAAAATGGTGATGGTGATGATGATGTTGTTGATGGTGATGGTGATGGAAGAGAAAAGGAAAGAGAATTGGAGTTGATAAAGAGAAGGAAGAACCCTTGAAAACTCTCCCACTACCCCTAGAATCAATAGAGCTTATAGTGTGAATAAAGCTTCACCCCATAAGAAATCAAAGTCAGCCACATTAGTGTCACTTGATTTTCTTTAGATCAAGAGAACATAGCATAAATATAAAATACACTTTAACAGAACTGCCCATTAAGTTTGGTAGAGATCTAATGTATGATAATATTAACCAATTGCTAACAAGCTGAGGGAAAGATACTATTATGGCAAAAAGTTTTAAACAGTGAAGTAAAGGTTTTTTTTTTAATACTACAAAACAAAGGTAGATCTTAAATAAATACGACTCTTAATGAAATCCAATACCTAACAATCAGAGGATTTTAATGAAGTGCTTTCTATACATAATGAAGGAAATATCTTTTTTGTTTTAAAAAAATGTTTATGCAGGTAATATTTTAAAATACTGACCAGCCTTCATTCCCTTGATTTGTAATTCCACACTCTTTCATGTTTCTGCAAGGTGAACTCTAGAGGAAGTGAGGTGAATATAAACCGTGGACAATTTGGCATGCATCTATTTAAAAAACCCTACCTTGGCATGAATGCTATTCATTTTGGCAGTAGGCTTTTATACCTTTTAAAAACAGATTACCTTGTATGTCTTTCCTTTGTGTCTTTTCATTTTAATCTCAAATTTTAAAGAGAAGTAAAACCACTTTCTGAATAGAGCTGTAGGGGATACCAATTCTGGTTTTGAATAGTCTGGGAATTGAAAATTTGAATAGAAAATCACAATTAATGAAGTGTTAGGTGAATTTGATTTCATTTTGCTTTTTTAAGTTTGTACTGTCAGCAGGACATGACTTGATTGTAGCGCTAAAGTGGCCATTTAAAACAAATTGCCTTGAAGAGAGAAGCATTGGGAATGGAGATCCCTTCAAGGTACTTAGTTTTAAATGAGTGCTCTGACAGCCATGCCCTTGACCTTGCACTATTTAAAAGCCTTCCATGTTTGCGCTGCGCTGGATTAATACAAGAATAAAACAAAAACACAAAACACGGTATCATTTATTTAGAGATACTGTGCTGCAACTGTTAATACTCTGCTTATAAATACTGACCCCAGGCAGTGGCTAGGATGGCATCTGCAAACTAACGCCCCAAAGCCAAAGCTCTCCAAGTGCAAATAGACAAGAGGGGTAATTGCTGTTCTTCTTTCAGCTGAGAAGCTCTTTCAAACAAGCCTTTGGGAAGAAAAAGTCCACCAAACCGCCTTCCTCACATTCCGACATTGAAGAGCTTACTGATTCATCTCTTCCAGCATCCCCCAAATTACCCCATAATGCTGGTGACTGTGGTTCAGCATCCATGAAACCCTCCCAGTCTGCCTCAGCGTAAGTCATTCCCTCTGCAGAGTGTAGAAATCTAAAGAACCAACTTTAGATCAGCCCCATGTGTATGATCTAACCATATCTCTGTCAAATTATTTTTAGATTTTTCTGAGAACGGTGTATAGCATTGGTTTCTCTTTCATTTTTCATATATTAGAATCTGAGAGTTTCTTGATCTCATTCTCCATTTTTCTAAGTCATTATTCTCACTTCTTTTCACTTGCATTTGTCCATTTATCTGTCTAACTGTGCGTACATGCAGGTCACCCCTTATCTGGCCACCAAAGAAACGGCAAAATGGCCCTGTGATCTACAAGCATAGATCCCGGTAAAATGAGTGTGATGCATGAGAACTGCAGAGATCCAGGCTCTAACCTAAGCAGTGTTCGTTTTTGCTTTTTCTAAAATCACTCACCTGCATTTCAACAATAAATGCCTCCTCTTTCTGTCTTTCAACTATAATGTGGTATCCTAAAACCAATCTGCAATCCATCTTATTTGATTCTCTTAGATAATCTAACATAGCATTTTTATAGTGGCTTGCTTTTTGTTAGTACAGTAGTCCCCCTTATCCACAGGGGATACTTTCTAAGACCCCTAGTGGATTCCTGAAACTGAGGACAGTACTATATATACTATTTTTTTTGTACATATATACCTACCTATGATAAAGTTCAATTTAAAAATTAGGCACAGTAAGTGATTAACAACAATACCATAATAAAATAAAACAATTATAACAATATTTTGTGACAGGCACTATGTGAACGTGGTCTCTCTCTTTCTCAAAATACTATAATATTTTTGGACCATGTTCAACAGCAGGTAATTGAAAACACAGAAACCAAAACTGTGGATGGGTGGGAGAAACTACTGTACGATAAATAACACATTTAGAATGTGGAAACATGTTCCGATGAAATGGCTTCTCTTTATTTTATACACTATTTAAATCATATTTTCTTGTGTGCTCATGACAATGACAAGCATAGTACTCTCATAGAGAACAAAGCCAGTATGCTTTGACTACATAATTGTGTCACTTATGTAAGAAGGAAGAACATACCACTGTAATTTTTGTGACCAGCAATCTAATCCTCAAATTTTAAATAGGAAAGATATTAGTTAATATAAAACAAAATTTTTGGAAGATTTTCTACAAAACTGTTCATAAAACAACAAAACTAAACAATAAGGATATAAAGTATATGACCTTCAGACAGCCCTTAGCTAACCTGCTAGTAAGGGCTGAAACCTGTGACTTAACTTTGTTAGCTGTGCTATTCTAAATCCGTTGAGCCTAACAGGAAGATTATATAACACTCACTCATTATTTAAATGTCCAAAACTAATCTCTCTAATTTATTTCCTACAGTGTTCATATTGGATTTTCATGGTAACTTAAAGACAGTTTTGTGGCAAATAAGGTCATTTTTTTTTTTTTTTGCAGTTTTACAAAGGAAGAAATCAACATTTTAAGGATGTAATAACTTTGCATTTAAAAAGAATATTCACATGTTGCAAATGGAAATTTAAATCCCTTGGAAATGTGGGAATGAAATACAGTAATACTATTACTTTGCTGCCCTAAAAATATCAACAACAAGGAAATTTTTAGTATTATTTTATATTCGGTAATAGCAAAGTGTTTTTAAACTCCAGGAGAGGGGAAAAAAAGACTAAAAGATAAAGAAAGACAGTTCTTTTCAGTTTTTGAACCTGTGAATGCATTCCTGTTTGTAAAACTCTTTCCCCTTTTCTCTAGATTTTGCCAATAGCAAATAATTTCTGTACCTGCTGGATAATATTGCAGTTCAGCCCTTAAAAGAGGCAGTGCTCTTCCTAATCCTCTGGCTTACCCAGACCACTGATTTTGTGTTTGTTTTCTTCTTCAGGATATGTGAATGCACAGAGGCTGAGGCAGAGATAATTCTGCAGCTGAAGAGCGAGCTCAGAGAAAAAGAATTAAAATTAACGGATATTCGGCTGGAGGCCCTGAGCTCTGCTCATCATCTTGATCAGATCCGGGAAGCCATGAACCGGATGCAGGTTGGTGCAGAAGCACTTTCAAGGCACAAAATGGATAGATAAAAATGCTGCCCGTTCTCTTCTCTTGGTTATTATAAAGTAAATTCCAGTTTTAACCCCGCTGTGGAAATGTACTTTGTTTATTCAGACTTTGCAACTTATTTCTTAATACCGGTTGGGGAATTTTGTTAAATTCTAGGTTAGAAGTGGGAGTACAAACGAGCTAGTTGTACTCAAGAACCATTAAAGATATTTGTACTAGTGTACAGACTGAGAACTAAGTTTTTAGAGAAACGACTAAATTCTTGCTTCTTCACATTTCCATGATTTACCTTTATGAAGCCTTTTTTCCTGTCCTTTTGAAATCTGACTTTCAAATGCATTCACCTATTTTCTGTTGAAAAAACAAAAGTAATGAGAAAGCTGTAGAAATTCAAGGCAAGCTTCCTGAATGTGGAAGTGAAAGTGATTTAGAATGCCATCTGTAGAAGTAAAGCTTTTATTTTTTGGAAATATCTAAAGGCTAAATTCAGAACCTGTCTGTGCTCAGATGAAGCTTTCATTTTATTATTGTAAACCAGTAATCACTTGGTACCACAGATGACTGAAATAAGAAACGCTTAGTGCTGAACAGATTCATCTGCCATTGTATATATTCATCAAATATCTTTTGTTGTTTTTATGAGCTTAGTGCCCCATTTTGAAGAAACAAAACTTTTTCAGATAGTTGCTAGGATTCTGAAGTAATTTTAAGTCACTATTATTCACTTTTTTTTGTTTTGCTCTGTTTTTCAATTCTTCATGAATTCACAGTAGTATTACAAATGCCATTATATACCTATGAGATTTTTAACATCTCTTTTTTGTTGTTGTTGTTGTTGAACTTGTGTCTTCTTTTTTTAACAACACTTTTAAAATGAGAAATGTTATGAGTTATTCAATTATATTATTCTTAATTCCAGTGAGACTAAGTCCTGGCAAACTTCTCAAAGTTATGATGTAGTCAAATATATGTACATATTTATATAAAACCTTTCTAATGACTAGTGTGTCTATATTTGTGAATAAAGGAATACATATATGTGAGAAACAGAGAAAAGGTTAACTTTCCTCCTTTGGAAGGAAATCCTGTTTCATAATTTATATTTGTTTATTTAACGTATTACCACATGCTAATTAATTCTGATAAAAGACTTGATGCCATTTTCACAATCAAACTAGCTCTTTTAAAAAATTGTTTATGTTTCCCTCTTCATAACAGAATGAAATTGAAATATTGAAAGCGGAAAATGACCGGTTGAAAGCAGAAACTGGTAACACAGCCAAGCCTGCTCGGCCACCGTCAGAATCCTCAAGCAGCACTTCCTCTTCATCTTCAAGGCAGTCATTAGGGCTTTCTCTAAACAATTTGAACATCACAGAAGCTGTTACCTCAGGTGACTGAGTGCACATGCCTGCCTGAATCACAACATGCTCCAGACTTAACAGGCTGGAGGGAAGCCTGGAATTTGGAGAGTTTTATACCGTCTTAAAAACATTAACGCTCAAGTTCTCAGAAATAGTACTATATTTATTTTATAATATATTCTTACTTAGCTATAAATTTAAAATTACATACTCGGTGAAAAAGTGAATCTTAGAGATACAGTTTTCATAACATTATAAAATAAAATACATAACATTAAAATCATGTGCTTGAGAAGTCCATAATTATGAAGATGAATAAATCATATTTTCAGTGATAATGATTAGTACTTATGGATATAATAGTAATAGTTCCGTGCAATTTTATAGTGCAAGTATATCAGGACCTAATTTCTAAGTTGTATTCAACAGTACTAATGATGGAAAGAATATACAGTTTTGATTCTATTGCAAATGGAGTCATATGACATAATGCAACCTTAATATCTGATGAACCATTCAATTATAAGGTATAACTGTTCCTGTAGCATCAAATTATGTTATGGATATAGAACTTAGTTTAGGGAACATTTACGTGAGACTCTGTGGTAATTGCAAAGCATAGCCACCAGATGACGCTTGGAAACCAAATATATACATATTCCTGAGTAACTTTAGATTTCGTTGTAGAATGGAGACACTTCACTGCTTGCCTTAAAGCACATTAAAATATAGAAGGAGAAGAAGAAGGGAATTAGCAGCATGTTGATATTGATTACATTTCCAGTAAATCTCATCTCTTCCAAAAAGTCAGAATTTTTAAAAATTCTGCTATTATGGCTGTCCTTCATAGTATAAAATAAGTGGCTCAATAACATATACTGTCCTTTTTATCTAAAATTTTAATCTAAAGTTCATTTTTTATCTAAAATCTAAAATGTTCATTTTTAATCTAAAAGGCAAGTATTTTACTGTAATTGAGTAAAACAGCTTTTATAAACTTTTGGTAGAGATTAGAAAAAGCAAATAAAGTCTAAATAAAGCAAATAAAGAATAAGCAGCAAATAAAACTAATACTGATAACCCCCAAAAAGGAGAGATTTCAGAATTAAATAACCTTATAGATTACAGATTACTGGGTAAAGCAAGACTGGAAATAAATAGTAACTTGAATGTGTAAATTGTACAGAAAGTATTATTCACACACTTCAAAGATTCCAGAAAAGAAAGACTCAAAAGTTTAAAGTCATGGAATCTAAGGGTTCTGAGTAACATTTTCTGTTTTGACTTGTTGCTGATAAATGTAACAGAGAAGTTGGATCCATATCTAATGGTCACCACTACATTTCTGTGTCCTCGGGTTTGACTCCTGGGGAAACACAGGACAATTACCTTACAGGACAGACTACCGGCAGGATTTCTCTGCCTGTTATATAATTTTGTTTAATTTTATGGAAATATGATAAGGTTTGAAGGAGGCAAGTTTAGTATTGAAGGTAATTTGAAAAGAAGAGGTATAAAAATAAACCTAAAATGAATCTAGGAAAAATAGAACTAATAAAGATAAATATAAAATCAAATAAATCAAATTTAGAGCTTCTATGTGTATTGAGCTTAACACACTGATATTCATGATTGAGGATTTAGGGCAATTTTTTGGGAGGAAGGCAAGCTTTAACCTTTTTAAAAAAATATACTTTTTAATTACCCATTTTGTCAGATATTTTAAATTCTATATTATTTTATTTCTTTAATTACTGTTCAGTAGTGATACTTATATCTGAACTATCAAAAAAATTAAATCACATGACTTGGATATTGTTTTCATTACCTTTACTCTTGTTTAGTGAGTTCAAAACTTGGAAACCAAAAATGCCTTTATACTGAAACTTTCTAACATAAAAACTTTCTAGGGTTCATCATTAATTTTTTTACAAAAGAAAGTAAGCAGGATAGTGGATAATTGGTCAATATTCTGTTCCTGAAATATTAACTACATCTTGTATGCATCTAGTAAAGACAGAAGCTTGAGAAACCTTTAGTTTTTGTCAGAATTTTACTTGATAGGCACTAGAATGGCAGATCATTTTTATTCTACTCTCAAAATGTAGATGACCAAAACTCATTTTTCATTAAAAACAAAAAACAAAAAGGAACAAACAACAACAACAACACCAAAAACCCACAGAAGACTCTCATCTGAAACTTGCTGTTTTCCCTGGAATAGTTTCTTCAGGTGATCAGCCTATCAATATACTCTGAATTAGAGTAAGTCACAGAGTGATCCTTCTGCTGTACAATAGAAGGAGTTGGAATCTACACACAGAGAAAAGAAATAATGATTAGGACAGTAAAACTTATTAGACACTGAAGATAAAGTGCTTTAAAAATGTGATTTCTTATGCTGTCAATAATCCTACAAAGTAGGTGCTATTTCAGCCCCATTTTATAGATGATGAGACCAAGACTTAGGAAAATTACTATAATTTGTTCAAGAGCATGCAACTAGTAAGTAGCAGAACTAATATTTGAACCCAGGTCTGAATGAATCCAGGGCCTGGCCTTTTAGCTACTATAATAATTTTGCTTTACGTAATCGCTTGACAAAGGCCAAGGATAGTCATTCACTCATTAATGATAAATATTTATCCTACCATTTTCAGGAGAAATTGCATATTTTAAGCATAGTTTTTTTAATAGTAAGTATGACATGAAATAAATAACATGTTTCAAGGCATATACGCAGATCAGCAATCAGGTTAAACCCTTTGCATGGACAACTAGACCATGTGTGACTGATCCTTACCCATTTCTGTGTCACCACAGAAAATCTTTCCCTGGCTCTTCACTTTTCTAGCACTTCTTAGTCCTCTGGTTCTCACCAAACACCATCTCCTCAAGGAAGACTTCCAAGATTACCTACCTATCTACAGCAGGCTCCATTAAGTTACTCTCTATTTCACTGCCTTGTTTATATCAGTAGAGCACTTATGCCTTCTGAAATTAGCAGGTTGAAAATGTATACTCCAGAAAAGCAAAAAAAAAATAAAATTCATTTATTACCTTAGTATTCATTCCCAATGACCAGCACAGTCTTTGATATCATTTATGCTTAATAATATTTGTTGAATATTTATGAACCTTTATAGGCAATTAAGCAAAGTGCTAAAATTTGATCATAAATTACAAGAAGTTTGGAAGTGAATAGCCAATGGAAAGTCACTTTCAACTTCTGAGCAAAGGAGCAAAAGAACTAAAATGACATTTAAAGACGAGTTTTATTTTTGAGTGGGATAGGTGAAAGGTGAAAGAATATAAAAATGTTAATTTGGAAAAATAATTAAATTTGAGTGCAGGGTAGTTTTTTTGATGATTTAAAAATTCCTGGCAAAAACTTTCATATTTCTCAAGTTCTAAAAGTTGTTTTTTCAATTGTTACGGTTCTTAAAGCATTTTTTTCTTTACTGTTTCATTTGCAAAAGAACCTATTCTTAGCTATTAAGATAATAGAAGTCATTTTATTTTCCGAAGACTTCTTATTAGATTGTGGTTTCCATGATGTTACAGTCACAGCCCTTATCTCTATAAACTCACCAGGCACATGTGCTTTTTAGCACGTACCTGAGTTTCCTTAATCCACAGCATACTACCTTCATATTAAGCATGACTCTACAATAACATCACTGTCGAAGGAAAACATGGATTTGAGATAGTTTGCCTTCATAGTTCTCCAGATTGAATATAAGTCTGGTATACTAAAGATTAATTATTTTGAAAATTTATCTTTAATCAACATTTAAAAGCTAATACTTTGAAGGTTTGCTAGCTTTATTGTGCTCCTGTAGCTCTTAGCTGATTAATAGAAATACTATTTTAGTTTTGAAACTATTTGCAGAAAGTATCCAGGAGAGTGATAATTAATATACTTCTTTAGAGAAGTATAATGCCATGGTTGAAATTCAATAATAGTACCTAATAATTATAGACATAAGACGAGCAGTTATATAGTTGGCTATGTGTCAAAGGCTTGAAAATAATTTCAGTTGGCAGTCAGTTTCAGAACCTTTACACTTATAAATTACATGGATATTGAGCTTGGATATTTTAGATTGGATAGAAAAATCAGATTGCTTCTCAGTTTGTCACGGTTATAACGGTGTCTAAATATTATTCAGGTATTACTCAGACCTGTGTGTAATAGGAAAAGAAACTGCTTATTTCCTTACTAAAGGCAATGGCCTAACACTTGGGTGAAGAACTTTGGAAGCAGAAATAAAGTCTTAAATTGAAACTTTAGCCCAACTACAGTAATTCATCTTCTTGAAAGCTGAGGTTTTTCAAACTAGTAAGGCCAGAATGGAAAGCAGATCTCATTGAAAGATAGGAAACTATGAGGGGAGAACACAGTGACTGTAAACACATCTGAGCTAATGTTACTCTATCATGTGTCTTTCTTTTAAAATTTGGCAGATATTTTACTAGATGATGCTGGTGATGCAGCTGGGCATAAAGATGGCCGCAGTGTGAAAATTATAGTCTCCATAAGCAAGGGCTATGGTCGAGCAAAGGTATGTTTTTGGTCTTAAATTCTTTATTACTAAAGTATGAGAATCACCACGAGTCAAATGTACTTTATGTCTGAATATTTGTTCTGGTAAATAGTCTATCAGAGGTGTTTGCCTTGGCGTTAGCTCAATGTGTTATACAAACATGAAAGGAACAATAAATAAATGACATCATCATACAGGTAGAAATGTGTCTTACAGGCACCTCACATTCATTCACTGTAAACAATATGGACAACTGCTTTATTTCTAAAACAGAAAAAAATAGTTGCTTTATTTGATGTAAACATTTTGTGTAACATATTATTTTGGATTCACTTATAGATTAGAGGTAATATTATTGTGTGCTGTAGCATGTCCCTAGAGCTTTCAACGTGGTCTTTGTACAAAGAGAAGACTATACGCTAAATGAATAGTCTATTAGAAAGACAAGTGTTCTACTAAACTCAGTAGGGAAAATTTCATTGATGTCTATCATTTTTAAGCAAAGTCCTTGCTGTTGGGCAAGTATTTTAATTTTTTGCAATCCAGTATTGTCTTCAAAGTGGTGGTGTCATTCTGACTCTATTCCTTTCTTAAAACAACAAAAAAAATGAAGTTGAATTTTAATTGAGTGGCCAAGGATACAAATGTATAAGTATTTAATTTTGTTTTATCAAACAATAAATAATCCTTTGGAATTTGAAAATAATTGAAGTGCTTAAGTTTGAAAAGTGAGATGGCATTTGTGAATTCTTACTGGGAGTCAATGTTCCAAGCATTCCAATGCAGTAAACTTTCTGCTTGAGCTGCAGATTTGTGCCTACTTTTCCCAAGTGAGTCTTTATGTGAGAGACTGTAATAGTCTCAGTAAAACCTAAACTAACTCTAATTTAAAAGCAGCTGTTTATAAAGCATTGCATAAGCATCCATTTTGACTGGGCTATAAACACACTGGAAAACATGTTTTCCTGTTCAGAAAAACAATGTCTTTAAACATTTTTTAAAATGCTTCTAAGAAAGTAGTCTTAGTCTACTTGGACTGCTGTTAAAAATATAATATAGACTGGGTGGCTTACACAACAGAAATTTATTCCCTCACAGTTCTAGAGGCTGGAAAGTCCATGATCAAGGTGTTGCCTGATTTGGTTCCTGGTGAGGGCTCTCTCCTTGGATTGCAGAGGGTACACTTCTCACTCTGTCCTCACACAGCTTTAACTCAGTGTCTATGGGTGGGAAGAGAGAGAGAGGGCCATTCTGAAATCACTAATCCCGTCACAATATCCCCACCCTCCTAATCTGACCTAACCCTAATTCTTGAACAAAGACCTCATTTCTAAATGCCATCACATTGGAGGTTAAAGTGTTAGCATATAAATTTCAGGTGGACACAAATATTGGTTCATAGTGGTAGTAAAAATATCAAAATTCGCAGCTATTAGTTTCTCAATCTATTCTGAAAAGGTATTGGCTTCTAAATCAAGTTATACCTCAATAATGATGATAATCACTTACCTCTATAAGGTTAAGTATTACAGATGAGTAAATTGAGGCTAAGGCAGATAAGTGGTTTACCTAAGGTCACATTTCTTAATTAGGTGGTAGATGTTGGAGGGTATAGAATTCATGTCCTCTAACACTTGAATCAATGATTATTCTACCACCCCTTAAGGATCACATACTGTTGACTGGTACCAGGATCGGAATATATCAACTATCTAATTATATCTATTGGTATAATAATCACTATGCCATGTGACCATTTCCAGTCATCATAAAAGAGGCCTTAGACTATAAATCCTAAATTGTTTACTATTTTTAACATGAATGAAAATTGTATTTTCTAGTTGTCCTTATTATTTCAGATGAGTTGACAACTGTTCAAAGCAATTACACTTAAACAGTGTTTACAAACATTATACAAGTCCTCCAATAGTAATATCAATGAAAATGAAACTAGCCTTGCCTTGACTAGTTCAATTTACTTATTTTAATGTATGTAGAAATTCCTCAAAATCCCATCCTACAAAAGAGATAGATTTGGAATCATTTGTATCATAAAAAAATTATTTGCTTGATAAATGAATCCTGTAAGTTTCCCTAGCAAATTCTTTTAAATAGTGAACTTTCTCATAAAACCAAAATGAGACCTGTTTTATAAATATTGTCACAATGAAATATTATCATGGATAATGTATTTCTTATAGGTAGATTATATTTTAGATTAAAATCAATAAAATTTTAAAAACTGAATTTTTAACTTATTAAAGATAAGATCACAAAATAGTAAGATGAAGTTATAGGATCCCTATGGTATAGTTCTGTTCTCTCTCTCTCCGTTTCTCTCCTACCAAGGTGCTTCTCTTTAGGAAGTTACCCACTGCATTAAAATGCTAGACTATTCTTTCAAATCTCCTTTCCCTTCTACTGAATGGGTCATGAATCAGTTTTCCTTGACATACCACAGCTTCATTTAATTCCTTTCTCTTTTGTTGTTGTTGCTATTGCTATTGATTTGTTCATTTGATTGCTTGGTTAGTTTGTTGAGGTATGATTTATTTCACATAACCCCCCCCCCCATGTATGCCTGTTACTATAGAATGCATAGGCTTAATAAATATTTTAGTATTAATTGCCAACTATGCTAATGCATTTTAGTAGAAAATGTAGTAATTGAAGAGGTTGTACAGTTGGACTTTATCCTACTTTATTTTGTTCTTAGGATCAGAAGTCTCATGCATATTTAATAGGATCCATTGGTGTTAGTGGAAAAACCAAGTGGGATGTCTTAGATGGTGTAATTAGACGTCTCTTTAAGGTAAGTTGTGCAAGATATCCTGATATTAATTTTCAACAAACCTTTCTTTATAGCTGCTGTGCTTAACTTTAATAGCATATATAGACACAACTGTTTTTCTTCTCCTCCAATTCAAATAAGGAAGGCTTTCTCTGTTTGTGCTGTTTAATATTAACTGTTCATATATTGCCCATTTCTAAAATTCTTGACAGTTAGCTTTATATCCCCCATGAGTTTTGTATTTTTTGTAGATGCATTGAAACTTTGTTGTGACTTTACTTTTTTGTGTATCATTTTAGGAATATGTGTTCCGAATCGATACATCCACTAGCCTTGGTCTGAGCTCTGATTGCATTGCAAGCTACTGTATAGGAGATTTAATTCGATCTCATAACCTAGAAGTGCCTGAACTGCTGCCTTGTGGATACCTTGTTGGAGATAATAATGTCATCACTGTGAACCTGAAAGGTAAAAATAAAAATAAAAAGCACAGTTGTAATTTTTTAGCCAACATTTTCTATACTCTCCCTCTTTTTGTAGCTTTACATCAAATTTTCCTGTTTGAAAACTGTGTTAACCACTTTGACAGTGTTGGTATGAAATGAACCATGCTGATTTTTAAAATGCTGCAGTCTTACTAAAAACATTGAAATCCAAGAAAGTCAAATTCTTTGAATTCTGGGATATGAAACTTGGAATTCAGTTTTGAAGATTCACCAAGACTCATCAAAAGGAATGTGATTTTTAAAATTGTAAATTTCTGAATATTCTTCATTATCATCTTTAAGTACAGGAGCATTCAAAAATTTATGATGTACTCCAAAGTAAATATTAATCATTCTATTTTTGATTTTAAAATATGTGTCCTTAAAAAATACATGTTAGGAACACAAAATGGAAGTTAAGAATCAGGGATGAGAATTTTTTTTGCTTTAGATGATGTTATTAATTATAGACTAATGTAATATCTGAAGTATATTTGTCTCCCTAATTCTTTGTTTGTTTATGTTAAGGAATTAGAATAAATCTATATAAATTTTGGGTTAATAGAGGAATTTGTCAATATTTGATTTTTATGATTAAAGTAATTGGGTTAGTAAAAGGAGATACTGTTGCTTCCCTACTTAATTCCTTGCCAAACATCACAATTTGGATTCTTCAAAAATTTAAGTGGCTATACAGCTAGGAGGTATAATAAGAGATAGAAGAAAATAAGAAAATTGACATAGAGTAAGAAAAAGGAAGAATATGCACACACACACATATATGTAGATGATCTTCACGTTTATTAGCAAACCTAATAATCTTCAAAGGGAGGGAAGAGATTATGATAGAATGTACAATGCTTCTATTTCTCTCTGGAAATGTAGACAAAAGGGAGAGAAGCCAGAACAAAAGGAAGCAGCTTGCTTTTGTTTGAATGTTCACTCTGCCTTATTACTGATATATATTTTTTTTCTTAAAATGGCACATATGTTTGTGGGATGGAAGTATCTAGGAAATTATTTTGCAAGGACTGCATTTCTATGCCTAACAAAACTTTGTTGGTGAGTACCATATTTTAAATTCTAGCTTTTAAAACAGTAAGGCATGCTATTCCTTTTGTTTCTTCCTTCAGGGGTAGAAGAAAACAGTTTGGACAGTTTTGTTTTTGATACGCTGATTCCTAAACCAATTACCCAAAGGTACTTTAACTTGTTGATGGAGCATCACAGAATCATACTTTCGGGACCAAGTGGTACTGGAAAGACCTATTTAGCAAACAAACTTGCTGAATATGTAATAACCAAATCAGGGAGGAAAAAAACAGAGGATGCAATTGCCACTTTTAATGTGGACCACAAGTCAAGTAAGGTAAGTCACAGATTCCTAAGGTAACAGCTGTTATTTATCCATAGTGTCTTAAGCAATCAAATTTTAAGATTGTGTGAGACTTCCATATTGTACATGAAAAAATATCCATCTCTTTGACTAACACTATAAGCTAGTGGATGAGCAAACTCTGTTGCATGAATTTGAACAATACTGCTATTTTCAATCACATTCAGTTATCAGGTAATCCACAAGGCATTGGGAGTATACAGAATAAAATGACAGAGCCTATTGCCTGATTTCTCTTAAACATCTATTTAGGAAGTGTGACAGTAGAAAAGGTCTGTACACAAGCAAGAGGGAAATACTTGTAAAAGGTCAATACTTGGTTTGGGTCTTAATAGATAAGTAGAAATTAACTTGAGTGTTGCTGTAATGGGGATTTGGGGATAATTAGAATATTCCCTGTAGAAATTCTGGGAGCGGAAATTTGTTTATGTCACATTTCTGTAGGATTTCTGTATAGGAACCTTAGGAAACTGAGTAATGTTACATTTCACTAACTAAAGTCAAATATGCCATAGTACTCAGCCTAAATACTCTCAGGTATTGAGTAAGTGAAGGAGGAGGACTATAAAAATCCAGCCAGTACTTTCTTATATTCTGAAACAAAAACAAGAACAAAGAATCTTCAGAAGGAAATAGCTGATAGCTAACATATTTTCTAACACTAAACAATTTTACCTTTAGTTATTTATCCAAGTCTGAATCAGTGCCACCTGTTTCCCTTGAAAAACCATGACTGTTGTAAGCAATACCCTGAGGGAATCTCAGTGTCACTGGGTCATTTTTTTTTTTTTTAAGATAACCAGGTTCAATGATCTAAACTGACCTAGTTCTCAGAAACCTGAGGTCTGTAAAACATCAGAAATAAACATGACTCCCAAAAGCAATCCTAAATAAACTAGACATACAGCTTAGGGAACAAGACATTCTTAGTGAGATAGTTCATTAAGTCCACAACACTGAGTAGCTGTGAGATTTAGGATCAATTACTAAATGTCCTTGTGCCTCCACTGTTTCAGTCAGTAAAATGGGAAAAATAGTAGGGTTGTGCTAAGGACTAAATAAGTGGGTGTGCAAGACAGAGAGAGAGAGAGAACGAAACAGCATAAATAGCAAGTACAGTATAAGGGTTACCTGCAATTATTAATTATAGCTCTTGGCTCTCAAAGAAGGTTCCTTATACTAATACACACACATAACACATTTCATATAACTTTGTTCGAAACTCTCATATATGTGCTTCAGGAACAATGATGTACATAAGGCCCGATGGGATTTCTTAAAGTTAAAAAAATGCAGTACATAAATTCTGACAATTTCCTTAGAACTCAGCACTATTCAAATTGTGGTTGAATCACCCATTGTCATTTCAACTGAAGACACAGAGCCTGAGGTAGAATGCTTGACACTTCTCTGAGCAGAAGTAGGAAGAGCACATTGTTTGCTTCAGACAACATCTTTAATGCTTCCTGTGAATTCTCTGTCTCCTCATATCTTTATGTAAAAGCCTCTTATCACAATTTTTAAAAATTTTCAGACAAAAATACCGAAAGACTTTTTAAGTTCTCTTAGTCATCCTCAGTGTTTTTTGATTCTTCCATTTCGATATGAGAGAACGCTTTACAACTTACTTCTTATATGGAAAAAAAAACTGTTAGAAAATAAGGGTAAAATAGATATATTAGAAAAAAGCGTTATTTTTATAAAGTTGGGGATCACTTAAAATCAAGTTTTGAACCAAATAGACTGAGCTTCATTTAGAATGTAAAATATACTTTTCCCTAAAATTCATTTATACATATATGTATATAATTTTCATTTCAGTTTAGGAAAATAAGTTTAGTACTTAAAGATGTTCTTAATAGTGTTACATAAGTGTCCTTTTAACTTTTTTTGATTAACTATTTCCAACACTCTAATTTTCTGCTTTTTCTCAGGAAAATTATTTGTGTCACTATTAGGCCAGTTCAATTGTTGTTATTACAAAATAATGACCAAAAAAAAAAAAAAAAATGCATAGCCAAGAGTGCTTGAAAAGAACTAATGGTGCTAGGAATCAGCAATGGGAAGAAGCTTACGGACAAATCATGTGGCGTTTGTTCCCAAGAAAGCACAAAATGTAACTAAAAAATGTTTATTTTTTTATGTCATTCCTTATGGTTGGAAGACATGAAGAAGCTATTAGTAATGCTAAATACAGAGTTATTGCCAGAGGATTTGGCTAATTTTTGCCAAATTGACAGAATTGACAGTTATCTTGGGAGTTGGGGGTGAGGACAATATATATATTTTTTAAAAGAGGGTCTATGGCCATACCACGCAGGATCTTGTCTGACCTCAGAAGCTAAGCAGGGTGGGACCTGGTTAGTACTTGAATGGAAAATTGGAGAAAAATTGACAAGTTGAGATTGTGTTAGGGATAAACTGCTAACAGTGGAGGTTTACTAAATGTAGATTTCACTAAAGTAAAATGCTAATGAAGCATGAATAATAAATCCTTTTCCTGAAAAACTGGAGCTGTGTAACTGCTGACATGTTTTATGCTATCCACAGATAGCACTGAAGAGACAAATCCAAAAAGCACTTACTGATTCAAACAAACAAACAAAAAATCTAACAAATCATCAAATGAGAAAAAAATCTTTTCATGTTTTTGGTACCTCTACATTTTACATTCTGTTCCTCTTCCCACACTTCAAACCCTCCCTCAAGCTGCCAGCTGGAATATTTTGATTGAGAGCAGTACACATAAACAATTACACTTTGTGACATTTGATATAGCAGGCCCAGAAGGCTAGAGATGGATTTGCTAAAGAATATGTGACCAGCTGAAGCCACTTGGAATGTTAGGTGGGAAAAGATCAGAAAACCGAACTGGGCAGATTCATTTTTTTGTGTGTCTGAAGTCAACATCTGAGAAAGCAGTGATCAACTGTTTTTTATATAATTGCGATGTTTCTACTATATTTTCAAAGTACGGAATTCATCTCATTGTCAATGTTCATCTGGTAGATGTACTTGTTTTCTTCTACCTGACGAGATCTAAAAAGCAAACTTTTAATGCTAATGCATCAATACCTCAACCTGAGATTTCATCTGCTTTAAGCTAGAGTGGGGGTTATGAAGTTATTTCAAGGGAATCTATAAAAAATTAAGTTATATGAAAAAGTCTTTGTGTATGCCTGTTTCTACATCTGACTGGTCTGTAGTGTTCATCAGATTCCCAAGGGATCTACTTCTCTCTCAAGATGAAAGAGACCCATGTTAGAATCTAATGGCACTGCTTGTCCAAAAATTATTCAGTGACCTCCTCATTATGAAATTTAACTACTTTGTGCACACTCTCTCTGTCTCTCTCTCTCTCTCTCACTCACTCTCACTTTTCTATAGCATACTGCTACGACTGATCTCTTTCTAGAAATTTTTCTGACTTTCATGATTATCATTTCCTCCTTGTTTTTTCCCTACCCCTTCATGTTTTCCTTCTCAGTCTCTTTCACGGACTACTCTTCCTTTATTTCCCAGCGAATGAAACTCTTTCCTGATATTCTGTTCTCTCTCACTTCTGTTCTTTGGATGACTCCCATGGCTTCAACTTATGTGGACTTGTGTGGTTGACTCAAATTGAATACCGCTAGCCTTGCCCACCCTCCCAAATTTTAAAACTCTCTTTAGTTTACAGATATGCTTCTATTCACCTACTAAATATACATGTTGAGGAATCACAATTTCAGCTCTGAAAAAATTTCTTAAATCCATCTTCCATTCATCTTCACCATAACCACCCTCCACCACTATTTATTATTATAACACTATTTACTGAATTTCTATACTCATTTTCTAACTATTTGATTTACAAATTCAAGTTTCTCTTTTCCTGGATTTATCTAATCACCTCATGGGAAATAGAATATCTTTTCATAACTAAAATCTGATTACAATAAAATCCTTCAATGTTTTATTGTATTTTGCTTTCTGCACCAAATCAAAAATATCACACTGTTCCCTGTTTAGTCCCTTAGTATCTCTTGGCTTCAGTGATTTCTAAATTATCTTGACTGGTCTCTCTTCTTCCTTTTCAATATGCTTACCACATGTTAAATCACAGTTCTGGCCATTGATTCCCAGAACGTTCAATATTTCTTCATTGCCGATGGGAAAAGTCCAGTGCTCTTACTAATTATTTAAGATTGCAAACTTGCTTTTCCAATTTATTTACCACCATTTACTTTCACAAAACACATGCTTGTAATTTTTCTTTCTCCATAGCTATCATATTTCTATGTTTCTGACTTTGAATATTCATTTCCCCTTGTTCAGAAAGTGCTCCCGTCTTTAAACGTCAAAATATGGCCTGATCCTAAAAATAAATTATTAATAGCAAATAATACTGCTCCCAGGAAACCTTCTCTACAAGCTCAAGTAGTTTTTACATGCTGTAAACAAAGTCATTGTCTATACTTTTTTGGAGTGATGTATTATTTTTGACTGTGAATTATAGCTGTATATGTATATGTCTAACCATCTATTCTGAGAAGGTAATATGCTTCTTAAATGTTATTTTCATTTCTAATTAATTCTTAAGTCTTTCACATGTCTGTTTCCTTGGATAAATAAATTGCTCTCAGTCCCTACTGAAAACAAAAAATCAAACAAACATGTCAATGGTTCGCACCTGTTTACATAATAAAATCCAGTTTCCTTTGCATGGATGCGATCTTTTCTTCTCTCTCTGTTGTTTCTACCACCACTACTATCATGCAGCATGTTCTTTTGCATCAACAGAGCACTTACGTTTAAAAACACATCATACACTCACACTTTCCACTTTCACTTTTTATTCTTTATTCTTCTAGTGTTTCCCACACTGGAGCCTGTTGTTCTGTAAACCCTAAGGCTGAGTTAGATGCTGCTGGATACTCTCCCTGTGGTGTTCTGTGCATTTCATTTGCCACACTGTATTGTGATGAACTTGCTGACCTGCTTTTCTGGAAGACAGAAATTATGTTTTATTTCTGATTCCTGGGTGCCAGCAGGATCCCCCAGTTGAAATTAATCTCTCTTCCTTCTCCAGGCCACGTATCCTTTCACCTCCCTCATGGAATGTTTCACATTGTGTTTTGTAAGTTTATCATTATTGGTGTGTGTGCCAACCCCCTTACCCAGACCTCCTCTGGCACAGAGGAGTTACCTCCTCTGGAAAACTGTTCTTGACACCCATCAGCTAGGTGGAATCTATTCTCTTGATTTCTCACGACTCACAATATACTTATGATCATATATTCAAATCATTTATCATATTTAAATGTCAGTCCCTAATGTGATAACTCTTAAAACCTACAGGAGAAGACAGTCTAATTAGCCTATTTAGCCTCCACTTACTGAAAAGTCCCTAGTGTGTTTTAGTACACACCCCATGAGCTTCGTCTAAGGCTACGAACATAGCAGATAGTGAATATGTGACTGAATGAATGTCTTTAGCTAGAATAGTGATATAAATTTCACTTTTTTTTTTAAGATAAATAAAATTCTTCAGACTAGTCACCAGTTTTAGACATATTTTTCTATGTTGTCTGATTTAGGCAAGATTTATTTAGTATAGCTGTCTCAATATAAAACAAGTAGTACTTTAGTTCTTCAATACATTTTATATTAGGACTTAAATAAATATTACCAAATGCCTCGAAACCCTGGACATTGTTTTGTCTCCTTCTGTTTTGAGTCCTACAGTGGTTGCATCCAGAGTGAGTAGTTCACATATTACCTGGCTGCCAGAAACTGGAATCATGGAATTGTTTTTTAACCCTGAGCAAGTTTTGCAAATTGAAAATGTCATTGTAAATATGCAAATATTATGGAAATATTCTTACTGATTAGGATAATTCTAAGAAACCTAATTATGTTCCTGGCCTACCCATCTGTGAGAGCAGTCAATCAGTGAACTGGTTATCATATTTAGATTAAAAGCTATTAGGCAAGAATAATACCTGTAAAATAACCAAGAAACTCAAGAAATGCTAAATACTAATGTTAAGTGACCCAGTGAAATAGAACAAATTTTGTCTTTCTTCAAAGTTATAGCATTGGCATGCAGATTACAAATAAGTAATTAACTACACTTTTATTAGTCTTGTGAATGTACTTTTAGATACATGCCATCTAAATGAATTGAAATTAACATGTTAAAAATATGAGTGGAAACTGAGAAGTGCTATTTTGGTTTGCAGTGGGAGACAGGGAGGCACAATGTCTTCAGGGAAACAAGAATCACCACAAATTTATGAGAAGAAATTGTTGAAACTAACAGAAAATAATGGAATAATTTATTTAAAGTGCTGAAAGGTTAAAAACAATTACTGCCAGATATCTTTTTATACGAGTGAAAAATCCTTCATAATTGAAGGTGAAGTGAAGATATTAAACAAACGAAATATTGGAGATAATTCATTGTCAGTAGACATGAACTACAAAAAATATATTTTTCAGTCTGAAAAATACATGAAATATTAAGGTTTGCTAAAATCCACTTTTTCATTGGATACCAAAACTAAGAATGAAATCTCAATATCCAGAATTCACATCTAGAACTCATTTTGGCTTTTCTTTTAGGGAGAAACCCACTGAGAAATGTACCTTCATGTTTACAGTTTTATATTTGCTGCAGGTGTTCAGTACTGTCTCTTCTTGTTTTTCCTTTTCTCTCTTTCATTTAAAAAAAATGTATCCTCTCAGCATTATATGGTCTTTGCTTTGTAAAGTAAGAGCTGATACCAATAGAATAATCTGACTTTGAAGGAAAGAAAGTTGATGGAAGACAGTTTATTAATCCTACAATATTAATTGCTTGCCATTGGTGTTAATTTATCATTGGTGTAATTGTTTTCTTCACTTTTTTTTTTTTAAGGAATTACAACAGTATCTAGCTAACCTGGCTGAACAGTGCAGTGCTGATAATAATGGTGTTGAGCTTCCAGTTGTAATAATCCTTGATAATCTTCATCATGTGGGCTCTCTGAGTGATATCTTCAATGGTTTCCTTAATTGTAAATACAACAAATGGTATGTTTATCAAATATTTTGAGTAGTCAAATGTGAAAAAAATAGTGATAAAATTTGCTTTCTTGTGTCTTTATACATTTTGTTTGTTTGCTTTTTTTTTTTTTCTTTGAGTTGAAGTCTCACTCAGTCGCCCAGACTGGAGTGCAGTGGCCGCTCCCGGCCACCGCAGCCTCGCCTGCTGGGCTCCAGCGATCCTTCCACCTCAGCCTTCCAAATAGCCGGAATTACAGGCATGTGCTACCACGCCCAGCTGATTTTTTTAAATTTATTGTAGAGATGAGGTCTCGCTGCCCAGGCGGGTCTCAAATCCGCAGGCTCAGGCAATCCACTCACTTCAGCCTCCCAAAGGCGTGGGATTACAAGCTGAGCCACCGAGTTCGGCTGTTTGTTTGCTTTTAATCTTTTAAACTTATGTATTATTGTTATTTTAATTGGCAAATGAAATTGTATGTATTTACCTTGTACAACATGATGTTTCAAAGTAAATATACACTATGGAATGATTTAATCTGGCTAATTAACATATGAATTACCTCACATAGTTATTTTTCTCTTGTATTCCAGGCCTTTAATTTGAGAAACTCTTTAATAATATACGATATTTCTAAAGAAGCTATATGCATTCATTAGAATATCTATTTACTCATTCAACAACTATGTTTTAGGGCTGTGACAGAAACATTACTTCTTTGATGCTGTTAGCTTCTCCAGACATGCTGAATGTATGAGAGACCAGTATCAATGATGGAATAATTTTAATCAGGAAAATAAATCACTAGATGGAGCCTTTGAAGCTCTGGTTTGATTCTCAGTTCATATCAAAGTTTAAATTTAACCTTTCTAATAAGACACATATAATACATTCAGATATAGTTCTCTACCTTAATGAGTCTGATTTTTACTATTTACTGTAAAGGGAAAGGTTAGAGTATAAACAACAGAAAACCCACCAAAGCTTCACTGTAGCATGGCCCCTAAAGAAAAGACCTATAAGAACATCAACATAAATAATATTAATTTTAATGTTGCCAAATATCTCAATTATCTTTACTAGACATTTTTTAAAAAGTTACAAACAGGTCAACATAAAATAGGAATTTTTTTTTTTTTTGAGACAGAGTCTCACTCTGTTGCCCAGGCTGGATTGCAGTGACATGATCATGGCCACTGCAGCTTCAATCTGCTGGGCTCAGGTAATCCTTCTGTCTCAGCCTTCCAAGTAGTCGGAACAATAGGGTGTGCACCCCACCATGCCTGGCTAATTTTTTGACTTATTGTAAAGATGAAGTCTCGCCAAGATACCCAGGCCGGTCTCAAACGCCTGGACTCAGGCAATGCTCTTGCCTCCACCTTCCAAAGTGCTGGGATCATAGGCATGAGACACTGTACCTGGCCATAAAATAGGAACTGAAAGAAGAATACAAATTCTATCATATTATTAAAAAACTTTAGCACAACTATAAGGTATTAAAATAGAAAAAACAATCAATTTTATTTTAATAATACGCACTATGAGATGTTAGAGTGGGATAAGACCATTGTCATTATTCTATCTAAACTCTTTACTGGAACTCAGGTTCAGAGAAATAAAATGCCTCACCTCGATGCTGGAGAAAAATTAGAACCCCAAGTATTAACTTTCAGGCTAATGATCTTTGTCATTTTCTAACCTCACATTACAAAATTACCCTTTTGAAGACTAATGTTAAAATGGAATAATTTGTATCTTAATTATTTTCTAAGACAATCTTAATAGATTAATCACTTTATTACCTTCAGTAAATCTAAATTTTTAATTTATTTTTCCTAGTCCATATATTATTGGAACAATGAATCAGGGAGTTTCTTCATCACCAAATCTAGAGCTTCATCACAATTTCAGGTAAAGTTAAGTTGACTTTTTTTTGGTATTATTTCCTTCTGTTTATTTTTGGTGGTTGTTTTTCTATTTGTATGTTGACAAATTCTGTCAGAGGTGACCTGTGGTATGAAAATAATTCTCACCTCTTCTGGCACTCTTCCTGAAGCAAACGTTTTGTGATTCTCAATCTGTAATCAGAAGTGTTTCTTTAAAAACAAAAAAAAAGAAAGAAAGAAAAAAGAAAAGAAAAGAAAAGGAAATTCTTTTCTGCTATGTCTCCAGCTAAAGTAGAGCACTTTTCTTTTAAGTGTGAGAAATGTGAAGAGAGTTCCTATTTCAGGATTTGTGATTCTCCTACAGAAGAGTGTTCAGCATGTAGACTCCCACTCACTTCTGACGCACATGAGCTTCTTTTTAGCCCGAAAAGTAGAGTTAGCTACATTGTAACTCTAATGCTAATAGATCTCCTAACCCATTTGATCATTAAAATGTGGCCACCAATTGAAATGGGAACATTATTATTTTATATTGGAAAAAGAATCACTGCAGATTTAAAATTTAATTTATATAAAATTGCTGGTCATTTTTTTTCTTTTTGTAGGTGGGTATTATGTGCAAATCACACAGAACCAGTGAAAGGCTTTTTAGGCAGATATCTTCGAAGAAAACTGATAGAAATAGAAATTGAAAGGAACATACGCAATAATGACCTAGTCAAAATTATAGATTGGATTCCTAAGACGTGGCATCATCTCAACAGTTTTTTGGAAACACACAGTTCTTCTGACGTTACCATTGGTGAGTTCCAAAATTACAATGTGCCATATTCCAGGAACTAAGAGTACTTGGTAAAGATAGCCAGATTGGATGGCAGAAAATAACAAGCAAAGCTAATGTTTTTTTCAAGCTTCCAAAGATTGAAGTTTACTTTTTTCGCTTCTGAAAGTTTGCTTTCTTCTTAGCTTTGTATCTCCAATTAGATTCGTTTTGTCTGACAATTATGGTTTACTACAATATTACAGAAATCAAATCAGTTCAATATGGGCAAATATCTGAAAATCAGATAACCATCTGAAATAAATAGTATCTGTTTCTGCCCAAAACAAATTTTAGTTAATAGCTCATATCAAAGTTGTGAGATGAGATTTTAGTTAGAGATAATTTAGAGGTTTTATATTTTTTATGAAGACAAAACTGAATTATTTCCATTTAATTGGCATAAAAATGTTTACTTTTGTATTCTTTCTTTAATCACATGCACAGAAATTCCTTTCTCGTTGTTAATGATTATTAAAATGTTCTCACTACAGACATAGTGAACATTAGAAAAAAGAATTCTATGCTGAGATTAGAACACCCATGCTGAGTCCTAATTCTGCAAATAATGACATTTTATATCTGGCAATTCATTTCAGTACAGATTTGTTGTTTGCACAATGGGGTAGAATGACAAGATTTTGACCTTTGTGATTTCTCCTAATCTTAATTCATTGAGCTTTAGATTCATATTTTATTGTAAATAGAAATGGGAGGCCAGGAAATTGGGTTAGTAAAGATACTTTAATAATAGTCAAGCTGGCCATTATAATTCTCTAAGAATCTGACAAGAACTATATGTAGTCCTCCAAAATGATGTCTAACTCTGTGTTTAGATTATTAAAATATTATGTTTCTCAAAAATGTTTTGCTATTTGTTTCTTGTCAGGTCCTCGACTTTTCCTTCCTTGCCCCATGGATGTAGAAGGTTCTAGAGTATGGTTTACGGATCTCTGGAACTATTCTTTGGTACCTTATATTCTGGAGGCAGTAAGAGAAGGTCTTCAGGTATAGTTCTTAATTTTCATTACTATATTTTTAAAAAGCAAAAAATATTTTAAAAGCAAAAAAATACATTTCTTTTTATGGGTATTTATGCAGAAAACTAAAAGTGTGAACTATGTAATTGGAGCAATACAATTTTCAAGAACAACTAGTATACAATATTTCAAATGTGCAAAAGAAAGAGAAAACACAGTTATTTCAGCCACTATGCATTTAAAGTCAAATTATTGCTATGGGTGTCTACAGACTATTCTTATGAGATAGCCAGTTAACTGCATAGTTCTACATCTGTGACACAGCCATGTGTACACGGGCCTTGACCATTTATACTCTTAGCACGTAATTTGTAACACATAGTTTTTGCTTATAGGTTTCCTGTTTTAGTATGCTTCATTGTTTGAAGGCCTTTAACATGACCTGCATGATCCTTTACTATTTTTGAGAGACTACTTTAAATTCTAAGGCAGTTAGTCTTTGTTTATCTATGACAGGTTGGTTTAGTAACATATCTGCTATTCCTCTCATGTGCCTCGCTTCAGGAAACTCTGAAACCAACCCTTCTGTTTATATGTAACCACAAAGTAAAAATATATTACTTATAGGAAAACCTTACTTCTTCAACAAAATATATTGTCTCTTTTCTATCATCTTTGCTATTTCTTTAAATTGGATTTGAAATTTCATGAAATTGTAGAATTATAAAATTCTATAAGATTTACATAATGTAATCATCCAATTTATTGTGGAAGAATCCAATCTCCTTTTTAATAACTTAGCCAAGGTTTAGGTGTTTTATTGGGCATCTCTGTTTCTGGTTTTCACAACTGCTAGCAGAATTAAGGTCCAGTTCATGTTGTCTGTTTTCTGTCAACTCTAATACTGTGTTGACTTTACTTTACTATCTAAAAAATTAGTCATCTACTTTCCATTCTTTCACGCCCTTTTACGATCATGCTGTCTTCATCTAGTAGAATGGCATGACAGTTTTTGGAAGTATAACAATAGTTCTGGCAAGCGTGGTAAGTATTATGAGGATGTTCTGAAGTTTCAAAGATAAAGCTAAGATCCTAGGGAATGCTATTGATTGGTTCTACTCTAGATTTAACTAATTCAATTGTGTAGTTTTAAGGGTATGAGCCAATCTAGCCCCAGCCAGTGGTTCCAACAAAATGAAAGATTACACCAATATATATATATTTTTTATTTTTCAAGTTTAATGTATCATGTTTTAGGACCTTCTAAACTATTGTGCTGCCCAGGATGTAAGTTAAGTCTTTCTATTTTGATCACTTATCCAAAAATTAGCATTTTATAAAAATCATTTGTAATATTTTAGAAATCATAATTTTAAAGTTAATGTTTAAATGAATTATTTGTTCTCTAAATATGGTTTTGGTATTAATGAACTATCATTCAATCTTTATACATGAAATTCTTATGTCATATTTGTTTGCTAATAGATAAATAAGGAAGCTTAAAAAACAACAAAATGATAATATTAAAAATGTTTAGTTTCTTTAGATCTTATTTTTAAAGGTGCATGGCTTCTTTTTTCATATTTATATCAAATTTAAGTTTCAATTCTATAAAGCCTCCATTTGGTCAAACGTATAATCAAGTAATAACAGTTTTCCAAACTAAAGCTGAGAGATACTTCAAAATTAGTTTGGAGGACAGATACAAATGTCTCATTTCTTGCTGTGGTTCAGAATGTATAGTAATAAGTTAATATGAAAGATGAATTGACTGCAATGTAGGGATTGTGTGCGGAGAGAAAACCCAACACAGAAGAAGAGAAGAAGTGGAAAAACCTTTGGTAGGTAGACAGTTCTCATTACTGTTGAATACTGTTCTGGGCCAGAAAGTCTATTAGTGGAAGGTATTTCTGGAGAAGTAGGAAGCAAAGGAATCATGTCTGTCATGAACCATTCCTATGGATCTACCAGCAACAAAGAACCTTAAATTGGAGGAAGAGGCAAAGAAACAAAGTCTGGTAGCAAAGATGAAGTTCACGTTGAGAGGAATTAAAAAAAAAATCTCTTTTCAGATGAAGGTTGATTCTTTTATAAGGAACCATATTGAGAATATTCTCTTCCAGATGTTCTAAATGGAAAAGATGCCAATGATACAATGATTTTTGTCTTTTATTCTGGAGATTCTGTCTTTCTTGAAATGTTGGCAATCGATTCATCTCTTGCTGAATATTTCATTTCTCTTCTTTAAATTCTGTTTTATAATATATATTTCACTCTGAAACACAGATTTGGCCCCATTTAGCTTTCCATTGGTTACTTACAATTTTGCTGTCTTGGATGGTTCTTTAAAAGCCTGTCATCTGTTGATTCTAAATTTTCATGTTCTTTTAAGGTTCATTCTAGATCCAAATTATTTTTTTGAAAACATCATTAAGTTTGCCAAGAATTACACATTTTTCCTTCAATTAGTTTAAGTTATGTAGCAAACTATATTTTATATCCTCTATAAAGCCAGCTTTTAACTCAGAGAAAACTTCTCCAAAACAAGGGAAATATTTTTTTAAAAGCACTGATGATTTATACCACTGCCATTATCTCCTAAGGAAATGCACAGATATTAGTACCTAGACTCTCTCTCTCTTTTTTTAACCAAGGCTGAAAACCTTCATATAACTTTTCCAGAGGAAACGCCAAAGAAAACTGGAAAGTAGTCCATAAGGTTTCCATGGTGTCAATGTCCGCAATTTTGCTTTTGTCTCACTGATCTAAAATAAGCCATATAGAATATACATGCTATCGGCTATAAGATTTGCATATAATAATTTGCAAACTGAAATATGTCATCTGAGACCAAATATATGCATGGTAACCAGGGTTGTCCTTGGTAGAGCAGCTCAAAGGGGTAGGAAAAGTACAGTAGGAAACTAGTGTACCCATGTAACTGCCCCATTCTCTTCATTTTAACTTTCCTTTCTGTGCCCCTTGTGGCCTTATACTTTTTTACAACGTCCCATCAACATTTGTCTTCTCAGTGTGCCCTTTCTAGTTTGGTTTCAGGTGTGCTTCCAGCTTTAAAATGTTGAACATCTCTTAGATTCATTTTCTTTCCTTTATTTCACTGCCAGTACTTTAACCAAGCTATACCATCACTTTCTTATTGGGCTCTTTACCTCCATATGCATTCTTGCAAGGTTGATGCTTCAGTTTCCTATTTTTATTCCTGTTGCTAGTGGACTGCACACAAATATCTAAAAAGTATTTACAGGAAACAAGGGGATTATAAGAGGGCATTGATCACAGAAAAATGATTATCAGAGAAAGTAGTCTTACTCAAAGGAAGTTTGAGTAGAATTAGAGAAAAACAAGTCTCTTTTATTTATCATCTTTCCAAAGTACACTTTAATAGATAATTCTATTTAGTGTCAAGCATAAATGTTTTTGAAATCCTCCATTAACTGGAACTTTTTCTTTTAATTCTTGAGTTTTTTCATTTGTTTGTAAAATTATCAGTAAAGATAAATGTGGGCAGTCATTTCTACATGTATTTATATTTTTTCTTTATATTCTCCCCCAAATACTGATTGTCTGTTCCAAGTGTTCAGTTTTATTTTTGTCTAGCCTTCAAGTCTTAAGTGAGCTATGTAGAGAGGTACATGGTTTAATTCTGAACATTTGTATACAGACACTTAACACCCTTGAAAGTGTCATCAAAACCCAATGAGGAAAAAAAAAAATCCCATTAGTGGTCACTTATTTTACTGACTAGAAATGCATCTTATATGTGATAAATATGTGGTCTACTTTTAGATGTATGGGAAACGCACACCATGGGAAGATCCCTCAAAGTGGGTACTGGACACATACCCATGGAGCTCAGCATCTCTGCCTCAGGAGAGCCCAGCCTTACTTCAGTTGCGACCAGAAGATGTTGGATACGAGGGCTGCACAGCCCCTAAGGAGGCCACAACCTCAAAGCACATTCCACAGACTGACACGGAAGGGGATCCCTTGGTAAGAAGTGGATGCTTGATTCCTCCTATATAATCTTGACTGCAGTGTGTGGTCATTAGTATGCCATCATTTGTAGTATCAAAGTCACTAGTTATCCTCGGCTTGTATTTGGGGCAGTTTAAACTCTATTATTTTTGGCCTGCTGTTATTGAATGAAGTTCTTAAAATAAAAACCAAGCTTGTATGCTTAAAAATAATCAGGAATTCATCCTGAGAAAGCTGATATAAAATTTTTTAATAAAAATTAAAAAAATAAGCCGGACTCGGTGGCTCCTGCGCCTTTGGGAGGCTGAGGTGAGTGGATTGCCTGAGCCGGCGGATTCGAGACCCGCCTGGGCAACGAGACCTCATCTCTACAATAAATAAAAAAAATCAGCCGGGCGTGGTAGCACATACCTGTAATTCTGGCTACTTGAAGGCTGAGGCGGAAGGATCGCCGGAGCCCAGCAGGTTGAGGCCACTGCACTCCAGTCTGGGCGACAGAGTGAGACTCCAACTCAGAAAAAAAAAAAATTAAAAAATAATCAAGAAACACTGAAAGTAGGCTAAACTCTTTGACCATGATTTTCCCCTTATTATACATTAAATTTTGTAAATAATTAAATAAATAAATTATTTTAAAATATCATGACTCAGTTTAGTAACTGTTTAAGAGAAAGCTGAATTTTGTTCTTTTTTTTTTTTTTTTTAAAGTCAGAGTCTTACTTTGTCACCCAGGCTGGAGGGCAGTGGCACACTCACAGCCACCACAGCCTCAACCTGCTAGACTCAGGCGATCCTTCTGCCTTAGCCTTCCAAGTAGCTAGAATTACAGGGGGTCACCACCATGCCCAGCTAAGTTTTTGATTTATTGTAGAGATGAGGTCTTGCCAAGTTGTCCAGGCTGATCTTGAACCCGTGGGCTCAGGCAGTCCTCTCGCCTCTGCCTCCCAATGTGCTGGGATTACAGGTGTGAGCCACCACACCCAATCTGAATTTTGTTCTTAAATGGAAAAATTAAAAAGTACAATCGAATGTACATTTTGAGAACCAGAATATTTTACATATGTCAATAGCCTCACTAAATTTAGAATTAGTCTTTTGTTGCCAAGAGGATAAACTGACTTGGAAATCAAAGGGAAGCTATTGTTTATTTCACTTTTAAAATAAAAAGCCTATAAAACTGCAAAATATGAATATTCTAAAAATATTAAGTGTATTTTGTTATTAGGAAAAGAGGCTATTTTTGTGTATCTATTTTTTATTTTTATAGATTATTTTCTATACATTTATATTAATTTATTTTATTTTTTAGTTCACCATTCTGTGACTAAAGGGCTCATTGGTTTTGTACAGCTAATACAGGAAAAAGGATACTAAAATAAAGGCCACTATGTTACTTAAGATAAACACAGAAAGAAAATGCTTAAAAGTCATAACCTCTGACTATGCCCCAGGATATAAAATTACTTGGTATTTTTTTTGTAATGTTCTTATACCCACAAAACCAATACATATATATCATCATCATCTCAGCTGGTCTTTCTTAACATTTTAGAAGTTTCATGTGAGAAATCTTACAAACTTTTAAGTTCCTTTCTCCAGCAAAGTGCACACACACAGACCATTTTTCATATTATTTTCAAAGTTTTATAAAATCATTGAAGCATATATATACCCACTTAGAGTTCAGAAATTCCCTGTTTAATAATTCTGATCTAGGTTACAAATTCCTTAAGCATATATTTATAACATGATATATTTTTATAACATGATACCTGATTCTTTAGATAATGCTGAGTTCAAAATCACCAGTGGTGGTGGAATTGGTTTGAATCCACTATCATTTTAAGCATACACTAAATAATTACTGATAGAATGGTTAATAGAATAAATACAAATCTTAGAGTACAAATATGAATTATTTAATCTGAATTTTTCATAAATTCCAGTCCTGCCTCTATAGTTTTGGTATACTATGTCTATTTCAGATAAGAAGAGATGTTCATAAAGCTTGTTGTCAGTGTTAGTCTGTAGATTATGGGTCCATAATAAGTGTCCTCAACTTTTCCATTTCTCACATTCCAGATCACCTAACCCATTAAGTACTCATTGCCCTGATTCTGAATGTTTTTTGGGTTTTTTTTTCTCTTAGGGGAAAGAGATCCAGGGTCTCCCATTCTGACATAACAATTGAGATAAAACATTCCTGGTTCCTAATCTATTGCTCTATTAAACATCTCAAAAAACAAGTATCTGTGATACCTTGCAAGTTAAGTGGCAAAGACTCATCTAAAAATAAATTTTTGGTTAGCTGGGCTCGGTGGCTTAGCTTGTAATCCCGTGCCTTGGGAGGCTGAGGTGAATGGATTGCCTGAGCCCGCGGGTTCGAGACCTGCCTGGGCAACTTAGTAAGAACTCATCTCTACAATAAATCAAAAAAATTACCCAGGTGTGGTAGTGTGCGCCTGTAGTTCCAGCTACTTGGAAGGCTGAGGCGGAAGGATCTCCAGAGCCCAGTAGGTTGAGGCTGCGGTGGCCAGGAGCGGCCACTGCACTCCAGTCTGGGCAACAGAGTGAGACTCCAACTCAAAATAATAAATAAATAAATAAATTTTTGGACTAGGCACATTCTGATAGGAAAATAAATATTTTCTATATGTATTTCTATACATTTATATAATTACTAATATAAGCAAAAATATAATTGTAGTCCAGTGTAAATCTGAAATCCTAGGAAACATTCACTATCTAGTGTCAGAAATCTGGTTTTGAATTTGAACAAGGATGTGAATTTTTGGCACATTTCACATTATTTTAAAAACTCAATATGTAGTCATCATTAACAACAAACTGAGTAAGTATGTACTTAGTGTTAATACCTGGGGATCAGGAACTAAATATTATTTCTGATCTCAGGAAGCTCAAGGTCAGAGATATCTTCCTATACAAACTACAGTGAAATAATGATAGTGGTACACGCTAGGTAAAGTTGTGAGTCCATTGAGGAAGCAATGGGAAGAAAACTTTACTGATGAGATTCTTGAGCTAGGTTTTAAAGTTTAAATGTGAGTTCATCATATGGTTGAAGGAAGAACATCTGAAATTAAAGAAACAGCATGTGAAACATTATAGAACAGTATAATGAAAATGGTGAACCTAGGGAGCTATATCCATGTTGGTAGGAGGAGTTAAAACTACAAAAGTAAACAACGATACATCTTGCTGAGTCTTGCTTATCTTTGCAGGAAGTTAAAACTCTATCTCATAGGCAAGGAGAGCCACCAAATGTTAAGACCCATGGCTTATCTAGTTATAGTCATAGCTTCTAATGATCACTTTGATAACAGAGTAGAGAGAGACAGATTGAAAGAGAGAGTATGGAAGCTTGGAGATGAGTATATTTGTGAGTATCAGGAATATAAGAACCTGACCAGGATGTTGGAAATGATAGATATAATATTTATGCCTATGGGTGTCTTAGTCCATTTAGTATCACTATAACAGAATATCTGAGGCTGGCTAATTTATAAAGAAAAGAAGTTCCTTTGGCTCATGATTCTGATGGCTGAAAAGTTCAAGATTAAGAAGGTGCATCTGTTAAGAGCCTCATGCTGCATCAACTCATGTGAAAGCTGAAGGAGAGTGGGAGTGTACAGAGATCACATGGCAAGAGAGGAAGCCACACTCTTTTTAACAGCCCACTCCTGCATGGGAACTAATCCATTTCCTCCTGAGTGAGAACTCACCCCCACTAGAAGGACATTGATCTATTTATGAAGGTTCCACCCCCATGACTCAAACACCTCCTATTAGGCCCCACCTCTTGACACTGCCACATTGGCATTAAAATTTCAATGAGTTTTGACAGGGCCAAACTATATCCAAACCATAGCAATAAGTATGGGATAGAAACAAGGAAGAGGAGAGGATAGAGATACTTTTTAGAAGATTGTGATCTATCACCATGATGATTGAATCATACATTATCTTACCTCTCTCATAATCTCCTTTGGTTTAAATGCACAAGGTATCAGTATGAGAAGACAAGGTAAATCCCTTTGTATACATTTATTATGGAATCTTAGATGTGGAGCTTTTTATAATGAAACATATTTACTATATGTCACCATTTTCAAAAATTAAGACTTTAATAACACTCTTATTATATAAGACTTTTACCACATTCAGCATTCAAGCGATTTCAAACATTTGTGACTAAAATACAATAATATCTTTTTTTTTTGAGTTGGAGTCTCACTCTGTCGCCCAGACTGGAGTGCAGTGGCCGCTCCCGGCCACCGCAGCCTTGACTTGCTGGGCTCCAGTGATCCTTCCACCTCAGACTTCCACGTAGCTGAAACTGCAGGCGCGCACTACCACACTCAGCTAATTTTTTGATTTATTGTAGAGATGAGGTCTCACCTGCCCAGGCGGGTCTCGAACCCGCGGGCTCAGGCAATCCACTCACCTCAGCCTCCCAAAGGCACGGGATTACAGGCTGAGCCAGTAGACATCACTTATCATTTCTACTCTTAGTAAATCAGCAGGGTGCTCAAACACATTTTGTTTTACAAATGCTTGCTTGAACCTAATGAGGGATGGATTAGTAATGAGGGATGGATTAGTAAAAGAAAAAGGGGAAAGGGCATGTGAATGGGCAAGAAGGTAGGGGTGTGAGAGAAAGAGTTGGGAGGAGAAGGGAGGGAAAGAAAGATACCACATTGGCCAGGAAGGTAGTGGTGTGAGAGAGAGAGGTGGAGGGACAAGGGAAAGAGAGAAAGATACCACATTGGGCATGAAGGTAGGGGTGTGAGAGAGAAAGGTGGGGAGAAATGGAAGGGAGAGAAAGATACCACACTGGGCATATAGGTAAGAGTGTGTGAGAGAGAGAAATTAGGGGAGAAGAGAGAAAAAGAAAGATGTCACATTGGGCATGAAGGTAGGGGTATGAGAGAGAGAAATGGGGAGAGAAGGGAGGGAAAGATACCTCATTGGTGGAAACATTTGGTTTTTTGGCTTACTGGGTTTGAGAGGTTATCACCAACTATTTTTAGTTCACATCTTCATGGAAGTGCTTTGATGCACTGAGAGAGTTTGACTGAAAATTAGGTTACAGAATATTGTTCTGAAGACAATTAAATGACTTCAAAATATGCTATATAACTGTAGCCTCTTTATCAGAAAGGCATTTGTGCTGAAATTGATGATTACCAGTTTATCATTTATTTCACAAGCATTTATTGAATCCACATTTTTACAATGAGCACACAAGCATACATAGCCTAACACATGACCAAGGAAACCTAATTTTTTCTTTCTATTTCTCTAAGTCAGACAAAAACAAACAAACAAAAATCTTTGGTTATTTTATAAAATAATAAAAATTAGTATGCATTATTTAATATAAATATTATTACATTGTATAGAAACCCTTGTTAATATAACATGTCCACTAACCCTCATTAAGATACATGCCAATTTTTCTGTGCTTTCTAAAATTGTTGAACCATTTATTTACAATTTGCTTTTAAACAATCTTTTTTAAAAAGCATCACTCTCTAACAGTGGTGCTTCAGATCTATCAAAATTAAAGCAATGTGACTGCTTTTTCATTTTTCAGTACATGGAAGTGCTAGCTGCCTTTCTCCCCTGGTGCTTTCATACATTTCTCCCTTTTACTTGAACAAACTTTACCATTCTCCTATAAAGCTAGGAAACTTGAGACAGCCGCTGTTGTTCCAGAAGGTGATTTTTGTTTCCCGTGATATATCAATCATATTTTAGCCAGAAATTCAACACCACAAACTTGACAGTGATTCCTTCCTTCTCCCTCTTCAGTTGCTCATGGTCCACTTCATTCAGTCACCTCCTCTCGAGGTCAGCTCCTAAGCAGCAGATGGTGTGCTTGTGTGCAGCAGCTGGCTTCATTCCACTCCATCCCCTCCTTCTCTCAAGGGACAGTGTGTGTGTGCCTATGTGTGCGTCCGTGTGTGTGTGAACATTCACGACTTTCAGTTGCCATTCAATGCTTTCTGCTTCTCCCAGCCAAAAAGCTGGGAAGCTTGGCGTTCTCTCCAGCAATGAACCCAGATGTCCAGCTGTGATACAATTTCCTTTCCAGTCTCCCTGCTGGAGCAGTATTCATTCACAACCTCAAATAAAAGCGTTGTCTAGAGGCCCTATTTTGTCCTTATGGTTTGGTGTTATAGTCATGTTTGGGAGAAATAGTGTAAGAGCCAGGGGCAACAAGTAAGAATCTAAAATCATTTTCCCGTTTTACTTGGATGGGATGAGACGGTTCTTCAGTATGGCTCAGGGCCTTGTTTTTTTACAGAACTGGCTTTCTCAATGCATCATTGCCTACATCGATGTCTCTTTTCCTTTCTTCAGATGAATATGCTAATGAAACTCCAAGAAGCAGCCAATTACTCGGGCACACAAAGCCATGACAGTGAAAGCACCAGCCACCATGAAGACATTTTGGATTCATCTCTTGAATCTACCCTCTAGAGGGTGAAAAAAGTTAGGGAAAAGGATTATGCTTTTAAAACATGTTTAGAAAGAAAGGTATTTCCACTAAACCACTGCCAGTATAAAAGCACCCTGTCAAGGGCCCTGACCCAGAGTTGTGGTCTCCAAGGAGGCAGGAGAACTAAATCTGAACCGCCAAGACGCTAAATTGAAATGGAAGCTTAACTTTATGTTATGTCTAAAAATTGTTTATATCCGTGGAGTGATCGAAGGCTCCATTACTCAACTGGAAAAGACCCTAATGACAGGGCAACTGAATAGATTGCACATGGGATAGCCAGACTGGACTTTCTTTGTTTCCTCTTTAAAAGTTTACAATGCAGACCTTTCTTTTGTCCCTCCGTTTTGTTTCCTCTGAGGGACTGTTTTCCCCAGGCAGGGTCCATTTTTCTGATCCGTCCAACCTCCTTTGTGCCACATTGGTGCTGGTCACAGGGCTCCAGTAGTGTTTGTGTTGTGTGCTCACCCCATTCCAAAATGAATCCAAGAGGCCAGTCCTCTATAAGCACAAATGGAATTGTGCAACCACCAGAAAAACACTACTGTGGCAAACTGGAGAAGTGCCAATTTAATTCTAACTGCCATGTTCTCATAATGTGCTCCACCAACTTTTTAGTACATGAGTCACAGGTTTTATAAGGTTGTTTTTACCACAGTGGTCTTTTTAAACCACCTGCCCACTCCCTTAACAAGAGTTTTATACCAATTATTAGTCAACACTGACAAAGGCTTTTTTAGGGCTTTATTTGTTTGAGCCTTTTCAGTGAAAGAAGGAACATTTCCTATGGTGCTGTCTCACTGCCTTAAAACAGATTTCTACAGCAGTTTAATAGTTGGTTGAAATCCTAAACCATTGCTAATTTCCACTGTATTTTCATTTACAATCAAGCAACACCAGTTAACACAGTAGCCTCATCTCTCTATATCTTTCTCTCTCTATTTTTTTTTAAAGAAATCTATAGGAGAAAGATCAGTATTTTTACCTTGTTAATCAATTGTTTTGCCTATCCTCCAAAATATTCAAATAACCCAGAAATCCTCTTTTATCGTCACTTAAAAGCTAAGACATGTGGCAAAGTTCCATCTAGTTCTAAGTGAAAGAGTCAGAAGGCGGGAGGTTTTGAATTCTTATCCAGCAGAGCTGGAAGCACTAGATACAGCATGAGCACAACTATTTGGCTTTCCTTCCCTATTCTTTTTTTTTTTTAATTGGTTTTGACGCATGTTGTTTTGATTGCTATTGTTGTACATGAGAAATTCAGCATTAAAGAACACTGAAACAGTAAAGTCACTGTGGAAGAGGAAGCATTTATACTGTAAAAGATGGTTAGATTTGCACAGTCTACTGGGTAGGTATTGTAAATAATAATTTTTAAAACTTGCACAAATCAAAACAAACACAAACAAAATTGTATTTTATCTTGTTGGTGTTAAGAGGTGTTTCACTTGCTGAGATTTCCTGTACGTTGCAAACAAATACAGAATGCAGACCTTCAAAGCTGTTATTATCTGGTGTGTTTGTCCTGTATTTACAATTGTTATGACTATGCAGGAGCTATCAGTGCTAGAGTGAGCATGCTTCAAAACTGTACACGAAGCCAATATTTTTGGATAAGTAAAACTGTCTGAAAGTACATCTGTCCTGGCAGGCTTTAAAGAGAGTGCATGAAAACCGATGAGAGTCATTGGAGAAGTTACCACCACACACAGAGGACAGGCTTTGAGTTTATAAAACCCAAGGGCTCAGCCAAGGTATAGACTTGTTCTATGCGTGTGAAAATGTGTTGCTCTTAGGACGTGTAATTGGTGCTACTCTCTGTGACCACCCATGGGTCAGCTGCTATAGAACAATAACAACAATAACACAAAATATCTGTGCAGTTTTCAGAGTGTCACTAAGTATATAGGTCCTTACACGGTGCTACTGCCCTAAGGGAAATCTGAACTGAATTTATGCACACAGAATTGTCACCCTGACTTTGAAGCCTCAAACATGGATCAAATCTGTTGTGAAACATCAATATATGTAGCTGGATGAGTGACTAGTTGACCTTGTATAATATGTGATCTAAGAAAATTGCTAATCTTTCCCTGCCATTTTGAGAAACACAGTCCAAACATGAACATAAACAGAATTTCCTGCAATACATCCCAGTAGGTCCACCTAGTTTACAACTTAAACTAGTTTGTGAAACATTTGTCTGTATACATTTTATATTTTGTACATTTTTGATGTAACATATCATGTAAATAAGCAGAAACAGTGAAATAAATCATCTGAAAAGTTTTGTAGTCTTTGTAAAGCCCCAACAATAAGTACTTGGTGTCAATGGACTTAACTGGATGATGTATTTTCTATTGGTTTATTGTTCCTCTAGCTTGTAAACCAGCTTGCATATATTTTTTTGCAAATGTGCACCCTGTATCTGTCTAAATTATTACTTTGCCATTAAAGTGGAATTATTTATTGACAACAAGGTGTGGTGTTTATGAATGGAGAAAAATTGAATAATTATGTACCAAGAAGTGACAAGCTTGATCATATTGCTTGCACTATTACTATTCCATCAGTAGGGACGTGTGTGAATTTATATTTTATATGCATCACCGTCAAATCTTCAAGGTAATAAAAGTAGTAGGTTTGTCTTTTAAAATGAAAGTTATTTATTCAGTGAATATTTTTAGAAAACTTAAAATCGTCTTCCTAAATGTCTGAAGATAAAATAAGCGTTCATGTGAAATAAAATGCTGAAATTCACTGTGTTACATTACATTAAATCACATTAAATGTTCCTTTGGCCAGGCATGGTGGGTCATGCCTGTGATCCCAGCACTTTGAAAGGTGAAGGTGAGAGCATTGCCTGAGCCCTGGGGTTCAAGACCAACCTGGGCAACTTGGTGAGACCTTGTCTCTACAATAAATAAGAGTTTTAAAAAAATTAGCTGGGCTTGGTGGCATGCACCTGTATTCCCAGGTTCTTGGATGACTGAGTCGGGAGGATGCCTGAGCCCAGGAGGCTGAGGCTATGGTAGCCATGACCGTGCCACTGCATTCCAGCCTGGGCCAAAGAGTGAGAGCCCAACTCAAAAAACAAAGTTTTGGTTTTTTTTTTAATTTCATTAAATCCTCTTTTGAAATTTTAATTCTAAACAGTATTTTAAGACAAAATAATTATTTGGATGGTAGTTTGTTTTTTAATAGAGAAGTTTACAAAAATAAAAAGGAACGTCTTTTAAAATTCTCTTTTTAATATTTTTTTATTTTAAAGATGTGGGGTACAATTCAGGATTAGGTATACAAGTGGTCATTGTACAGGTAAAGTTTGGGCCTCCGTTTAGTCCCCACTTCTCAAGATCAGGTACCCTTATTGATTAAAATTCTCTTTTAAAGTATCTTGAGCATCTCTTTAACCCCAGTAATTGGAATGTATATTTGGATGGCATAAGTAGTTTTAATTCTAAGAGCAGGAGAACTGTTAAAATAGAACAGCTGTAGAGTAAAAAAGAAAGGTATTTGTTAAAATGGGTCAATTATCCATAATGGAATACAGTTGGTGCATTTTGTTCCTTCACTCAGTTTGGGATATGCAGAAAATTTCCATAATTCATCTATCTCAGATAAACATGGAATAAACCACAAACTTAAATACAATTCAGCTAAATTTAGGCTGGATCAGTATGAATACCAGCACTGTCATTCTTCTCTGTGTGACCTTGGCCAATTTACTCAAACTCTGGGCCTCATTTCTTCACCCATAAACTGATGATAGAGTAACTACTTCTCACAGATTACTATGAGAATCAAATGGCTTATTACACACAAATGCCTTGAATGGTGCCTAGCCCTCTATAAACTGTAGCTGCTTTAAACAACTATTAAATAACAAAATAATTACAAAATAGTCATTATTCTATTTTGAAACATTTTGAGAATAATGCATAAATATTGACTTATTTTTTTAAAATTTTAAAGAATGCATCTTTTAACCCAATTTCTTCATTTACAGAATGAGAATAATAGTACCACCTCATTAGGGTTGTTGGGAAAATTGAGTTTAGTTCTGTACTCAAACAATGCCTCTCACTTAGGAAGATTTCAATAAATGTTAGCTGATGTATTAACACAACCGTTATAATAAATTATTAACAGAATTATAACAACTATTATCAGGATTCAATTTACTCATCTATAAAATGGGATTATTAGAGTGCTTACACGTAAGATTATTGTGAAGACTGAATACATAAAGCACTCAAATTTTTTGTCATATCTTAAATGCTATTTAAGGGTTAAGTATTATTATTATTCAACAAAAATTTGTTATATACCTAATATGTGCCAGGCAACTTTCTTAGGAATCAGAGGAATTAAGACACAGACCATGGTCCTAAGGGACTTAATGGTAAGTAGAATTGAATCTCTGTCTCTTCACGTCTTTAATACGTACATACACTCCCTACAATAAGGACGACCAGTGAAAAGACCATTGATAATCCATTGAATAGTAGCTACCAAAGTATGTTTTTAGATACTGATAGAATAAATGATACCAGTAAATTATATTTCAATTTGGATAAGTTCAAGTATCTTTATTTCAGGCTTTGAACTTTCACATGAAAACAATAACAATATTTTTATTACAAATAGGTCACCTTAAAAATGTCTAGTTCTATGTCATAGATGAGTGAAGATGTTTAAGAAGAAGCTGTATTGTTATTTTTATTCTGTGTTTTTTTGGGGGGTGGTGCACCAATTGATAGGTAAAATATTGCATTGCTGAATTCGCTATGATTTTTTAATTCAGTGATGGTGAATTAAAACGGAGAAAGTGTCTTCTCCACATGGAGTATAAGTTATTTCTCAGTTATGCAGGAGTTCATCAGTAAGAAAATATATTCACAGAAATTAAATATAACACTTTCTGAATTAGTATCTTATTAGAGGAAATAAAAGTTCTCAAATTGTTTTTTTTTTTTCATGACATTGTGAAAATATAATAATATTAAATAAACCTTTCTTTATCATTGGCATGTTTAACACTTGACCTTAACATTCCAGAATGGCATGGTAGGGTCGAAGTTGATAAGTAAGAGAGTTAATATTTCTTACATTTATTACATGTTAAAATGATAATATTTTCAATTATTGAGCTATATTAACTATAGTGTTAAAGTTAATTCATCTGACTGCACTTTTTTAATGTGGCTACTAGAAAATTTAAAAGTAAATATATTGCTTATATTTACGACTTGCTTTACGTTTCTATTTCTACCAGATAGTGCAGCTATTTAAAAGTGGATCCTTACAAAATGTAAATGTGATTATCTCCCTCACCTCTTATGTTTTTTGTTTTTAAAAGAACATTCAGATATACCAAAGGAATATAATTCCTTAAACTGGATTTTTCTTATCCTTTGGCTTTTTTTTTTCTCCATGTCCACTGCCCCCATTTGGTTCTGTTCTCTGTGACATTAGGCTAATTGTAGAGCCTAGAATTGTTGAAACAGCAATCACTTTTCAGACAAGGTACCTATGAGCATTTGTCAAAGTTTTATTACAGCTTACCGCATGGTAAAAACCTCTAGGAGGCCAACTTAAAGGTTTCCCTTCCAGCACAGACATTTATGGAAATGGTAGATTAGACAAAACAAAAAAGAATATTTATTTATATGTTCCCAGATTCTTAACTGTCGGTTAGATTACTGAGTGACTAGTTCCCCAGGGCATATATTGATTTTATAAACAATTAAAATTATTGAAAATTGTTAATTGTTTTATCAGAATTCCAAATTATTTAGAGAAAATTAAGAATTACATAAAGCAATAGATAATGTTTTGTCCCAGACCAGACAGGTTTGGTACTCTTATTCCTCCTTTCCCTCTCCTCTTCCTTTTCTTCCTCCTCCTTCTGCTTTTTCTCTTTCTCCTTCTGCTCTTTCTCCTTCTCCTTCTTCATCTTGATCCTCATCTTCTACTTTTTTTTAGAAACAGGCTCTCACTCTGTTGCCTAGGCTGGAGTACAGTGTAATGATCATAGCTCACTGCAGCCTTGAACTCCCAGGCTCAAGCGATTCCCCCACCATAGCCTCCCGAGTAGCTAGGACTACAGGCATGTGGCACCACACCTGGCTAATTTTTAAAATAAAATTTTGTAGAGACAAGGCTGCTTATGTTGCCCAGGACCTTAAGCGATTCTCTGCCTTGGACTCCCAAAATGTTGGGATTACAGGCATGAGCCACCATGCTCAGCCACAATTTTTACTTTGCGGTAATTTGCTTTCTCTTAATTTAAGGCCTTGATGCATTCTCAAATGCCGTTTCCTTAGACAAACCTTTCTGATCCCTCAGACTAGGTCAAGAATCTGTGTCATTTGCTTTTTTAGAAATATATAGCATCCTACTAATCATGTTGCACATTCGGGACCTATAATATAGTATATTCTTGAATCAGAATGCTGACTGGTGACCAGAAAAGAAGCAGATAATCTGACTTGTGTTATTTAGTAAATACAAAGTACTGCTTGGGAATTTTTCTCCCCTCTAGATGTAATGTACTTCATACTTCCTATCAAGTATTCTTTTTCTTTCTGCTTTTTAAGTTTTTCTTTTTTTAAAAAGATACCTTAGTTATATATGGTACAATTTAGATATGTGGGTTTTTGGGGGGAAACAAATAAAATATACCAAGAAGTTGGAAATGTAATGCTAGAGCCTAGAAGACAGGTGGCGGCTGAAAAGATAAAATAGGAATCCTTGGCACGGAAACAAGAAATGAAGATGTGAATTTTGCTTTGGAATGATTCCCCACAAGAGAGATCTTGACCAAGTTATGACTGAGAATAGAACCTGAGGAATATGGTTGAAAGCTTTATAGCTCATTTAGCTTCTGTTTGCCATTTTGCCTAATATATTTCTGCACATTTCATGCAACATTTATAAAAGAATATAAAATAAGAGGAAAAGCATTAAATTAAGAGTCTGAAAAGTCTGTATCTTATTCTTGTAATTTCTCCTGGAAGAATCAATTAATCCGTGATCTGTATTCTTGTAGATTTTATACTCTAAGATGGTGATGGATAATAAAATTCACCCAATGTAACTGGAGTGGTTCTATACATTGTTTGTGATACAAATAATGTGTATCTATCAGATATTCCCAGGGGATAGTAGAAAATCTAGATATTTAGTTGAAGGCCATCCAAGAACAGGTTAGTATAGTTGTGTTCAGTCTGGTTTGGCTGCTACTTGATGTGCTGAGTAGAGGCAGCTCAGTATCTAAACTAGTTTTACAGAGCCATGTTCAGGGTTTAGAAACTGGTTCAGACTCCCTGTAGACACTCTGAGAGTTGTATAGTGGACATTTGCCCAACATCAGCTACTCTTTGAAGATGGGTTTCCTAGTTCCCAAGCAAATGGCTTTCCTGGTATGCTATTGACATTTTCTAGTTCAGCCCTTTCTTAGGTTACTGTGGG